TGTTGGTTTCCCAGACCCTGGGAAGAGTGATTCATAGCTTCCAAGAAGGGAAATGGGAAGGAAGAAGGAAAGCTAGTTAAACAGTTTCATGTGGACAACAAGTAGAGCAGACCCACATTCTACAGGATCCTCATGAAGAAAGAGAATGCAAGCCAAATGTGGTAATTTTAATACTGTTGGAGAATGAGGCATGAGGATCACAAGTCTGAACCCAGCCTGGGCATCTGCATAGATGCTCATTGGCTTGTAATGTGAATGCTCCTAATTGCTCCCTGCAGGTGGTCTGGGACCTTAAAGTTCATTCCTTACAGACATGAATTGGTTTGTGCTTCACTGTTCCAACACTAATACTAGATGCTGGGCTATTTGGAACCAAAGATGGCAGAAACAAAATTGGGCAGGCACATACTGCCCAAACACTGCAGGCACATACACCCAACACAGAACAATTTTATGGATGATGCAGGTGTGGGAGCTTCAGCTGAATTGGTATCCTAGCCAAAGGGAGTCAGGTCAAGAGTGTGACCAAGTTGTTTCTCACAGAACAAAAAAGCAGCAGGTTCTTATTGATTTGCTTGAGTGAGCTAAAGCCTAATAATTACCGCTGGTCAGAGACACAGTTCCAAAAGATTTTTTCTTCTCATGACAAACTTGGGCACAGTCAACTCATTCTAGAAGCTATTGAATTTTTGAGTGTCTGGAGCCACCATCCTGTGCAAAACATCCCAGTCTTGAGAGTCTGGACCCGAGGATAGGGCTGAAGGACTTTGGATGCTTGGGTTTGGGGGCTTCTGAGGAAGTTCAAGCGTGGGGACGGGAAAGAGAGAAAGGCAAAGAAAACATGTACAGCTCTGATGGTCTAGGCCAAATTAACCATGTATTACTTTCTTGGACAAAACATTTTTCAAATGATCAATACATCTACAAGCAGAGCCAAGTAGAATACGGTGCAATATGAAGGCAGGAATGCCAATACTTTTGTCCCATTTTAATCAGCCGTGAACTAGCTCTGCATATTCAAGGGTCAGTGTTTAGCAACTGTGTCCTTCAAATGTCTGCAAAATAACCTAGGCAACTGTTATCATTGAGAGAGGAGATCACCCCTCCATTTGGAATTGGACAACTACAGATCAACTGTGTTATTAGACAACTGTGGGTTAACTAGGTAACTATGCTCTTTGTAGAATATACCTGAGCAGCCACGACAGCTTCTGTAATCTGTCACCAAAGGAGCATAACAGACTCAGAAAGCCCTGACAAAACTTTTCGCTCTCCCTATTTCCACTGCTTGGTTTTGGGTAAATCCTGCTTGCTATATTCCCAGGGGAATTCCAATAAAATTAAGCTTCATAGATGTAAAAAGAAGTATATAAGGAAGCACACACTTCTATTCAGGGCTCTCGAAACTGACAGGAGTCACTCACTGAGCCACTGGCATCATTAGAAGCTGCATTTGTTCCTATCTTCATGTTAAAGAGTTAGTGATGCCAGAGTCCTCATTGTTTCCTGCCTCATCATAATCCATAAACCAGAAGTGTTATCTGCAAAGCCAATGGGAAACTAATAAAGCATTGCCCAGCTACGTGACTTCCAAACTTAGTGATTTTTAAGTTGATTAGGAGCAAATGAATCTAAAGGGCTTATCTGGGTTTTTCATTGGCAACAATTTTTTTTTTTTTTTTTTTTTTTTTTTTTTTTTTTTTTTTTTTTTTTTTTTTTTTTTTTTTTTTTTTTTTTTTTTTTTTTTTTTTTTTTTTTTTTTTTTTTTTTTTTTTTTTTTTTTTTTGCAGTACCAGGGATTGAACTCAGGACCTTGTGCTTTTGAGGCAATTGGCAGTACCACTAAGCTGAATCCCCAGCCCTACAACATTTTTATATCTTTGTTTTTAGCAGGGTCTCATGACAGGCCTGTTGAAACATGCCTTGCTGCAAACAGTAATAGTTTATTACACCTAGGGGCTTATTTTTTCATCCCTGCCCTCTGTTCCACCATTCTCCCTATGGCTGTCCTAATCATCTCACATGTGGATGGCTCTTTTATCATGCTGAATAAAATAAGCCCCACAGTGTTCAATCAGTGTTTAAGGAACAGAAACATGAATGAAAAATGATGAGAAATCCTCATGGGCAGGCCCTGCTGAACCTTCCTGCCATCTAGGTGCCATCTGTTTGTCACACCCTCCAGTGCAGACAGCAGCTCAGACAGACTCTCAGTTCTGAAGAACAGGGAACAAGACATTTTACTGCCACCTACTAGATCTCTGTCTTCACCTCTTGAGTGAGACAGGAAATTGAGACAAAAAGAATTTCCAGGATTTCATAGCTCATCTCCCAGGAGACAGAGCCCAGCAGTCTGTCATTAGCATGCTCTGCTGAAAGGACAAAGGAGGGAGAGCCCAGCATAGAGCAGGTCCTGCCCCTGTATGGGCCTTGGAGAGGCTCAGGGTCAGGTTACACAACTTCTGTCCTAGGCATCTGCCTAGATAAGCCAAAAAACCAGCGTATTTTCTGGCCTGGCCTCTCCTGTTGCTGCCCCAGCATGATGCAGCCTGAATTCTGGGAGGTCTTGGCCACCCTGCTCACCACCATCAGTGCAGGTGAGTTGAGGACAAGGTGGTGAAATGCTGGTCTCTGTGCCTGGACGCATGCTGTGCGTGGAATGCAAGCTTCCACCTGCTTCTGTCAGCCTCCACGCAGCTCTATGCAGCCCTGCGACTGGGGACTTCAGATGAACACATAGGCTCACAGAGGTAAATCTTGTGGCTGAGGGCTGGTTGGCAACAAGTGAAAGGATCAGGTAAGAAACAGCTGAGACCTTCAGCGCTGCTGGGAAGGTTCCCTGAGGAAGCAGCATGAGGGATAAACTGGTTGCTTTCTGGCCTGGCCTCCCCTGTTCTCACCTGTAATGTGTGGTCTGGTGCACAGGCTCCTTCTTAGACCCTGGTGTGATGCCTTCCAGGTCTTCAGAGACCACTTGCTTCCTCTCAGATCCCTCATTCTTCTATTCTGCCTTTCCTCTGAAATCCAAACTCAGTGACCTTGAGTAATTCTGTCTGCCCTAATGGCTCCTACAGTTTCCCTGGGAATTATCCACCACTTCAGGTGGCAGGGAACGATGTTGTGCTTCACATGAAATAGATACTTCTAGTCTGCTTCTCAAACCACTGTATAAGATTTTATATATATTTATGTATGCATGTATATTTATATATTATAAAATATATGTAAGACCTTGTTCATTTATTTCACACAATTCCCAGAGGTAAGTATGAGGTCCCATTTCACCTATGGCAAAACTGAGGCTGAGAGAAGCTGTTAACTTGCCCTGGATCACAATTTAAGTGCTAGAATAGCTAGGATTTGAGCCAAGTCTTTCTCCCCACAAAACCCACTGGGACCTAGAGCTTCCAAGAACCTGTGAGGATCTGCTGAACAGTTTTGAGGTAAATCTCAGACACTTGGTTTCCAGCCTTAGCAAACTATCTCAGTGTCAGCACAGGTGTAGATTGGGGAGCTGGAGCAGGAGAAGAAGCTGCACTTCAGGTCTCTTGAACAGCAAGGGACACTAAAGCACTGACTCCCCACCCATGCCAGCCCTCCCTCTGGGGCCCAGGAGGCTTTGCCTGTCACTTGACCCCTCTGGCATCAGTTTCCCTCATGTAAGATGAAAAGCTGACTGGCCATGAGAGGAAATATTAGCTCCACTCATCCACGGTGCTGACAGCACAACACTGAGCTCCTGGAAATTCTAGATATGGAGGGTGATGAACAAGGCCATTGTGACTTCTCTAAGTATCAGGATTCCAAAGTCTCAGAGGCTAACAGCCAACCTTGACCCCTGTTACATGATCTCTGCTCTTCTCTTCCCCTATTTCATGGCACTGTACCCAGAAGAGGCCCCATGTGCTCAGCAAAGGTTCCCATCTCTGTTTGTTGGTGATTGCAGAACTGGGCTAAAGTCACACTTTCGATGCAGATGGCAGCTCAGAGGGACTCTCAGTTCTGGGGTACAGAGAGCAGGGCACTTTCCTGCCAACTCTTTACTTTCTGCAGGGCTGGATACCTCTTCCCGCCCTGGGGCCAACTTCTTCCATGTGTGCCTCACTGCCTGCCCCCAAGGACAGCACTCCTTGACCAGAGACTGCCTGCAGTGCCCCATGGGCTTCTAGTAAGGAGCAGATACCTGCAATTCAAAGGAGAGAGGGAAGGGCATGTGGAACCTTGGTTTATTAAAGGGAAACCAAGCAGATCCCCTTCATGATGGCCCCAAATGTGAGTGGCTCCCAGGACAATTGGTTAGTGCTGAGTGTCCTGGAGCCTGGTGGACTGAGCTGTCAGGGCCCACCCAGGATACAGAGCTCAATAGAGGGTTGGGCTAGAAGAAGCAAGCTTGATCTGGCTCTGCCCCTCACCTGCCTTGTGCCTTGAACAATTCGTCACCCAGGATGTGAGGTGGTGTGGTCAAAGGTGTGTTTCTGAGGAATGCCCTCCATCAATGACTCCATCAATGCCCACCATCAATGACTCCCATTACTGGACCTCTCCTCAAGCCTGATGAAGGATGTCATATCACCCAGAATCCCACGCTCCCTCCCCTTCTCTCTAGGCCCTCAGGACAAGTCCTAAGTGGCTGGCTTGGACCAGGCAACACACTGATGCCATAGGATAGAGTCTCCTGGTAGCCTGAGATGGACTAACCCTGTATCCAGGCCTTAGAGATGATCATCAGTTCTGAACAGCCCAGTTAGGGATATTCAACTGTCTCCATTCCACTTATCCCAGTGGGGGCAACAGAAAGTGGGTTAGGCCAGGGGCTAGGTGACAGTATACCCAGGCAATAGGAAGGTCCTGGGTCTAGTACCATCTCTACTCCTGTTCCCTCTGGGCTGAGGCTTGGTTGTTCCCAGGTTAGCATCCTCCCTTGCATAATGAAGGGGTGAAGAGCTCTTCTCAGTCTCTTGGTTTGCTTTTGGCTTTTGCAGCTGCCTGGATGGCAGGACATGGCTGTGCCCTATTGGAACCTGCAGGAGATGCCTTGAACTTACAGACAACAGGGACATCCAGGTGACCTAGTTGGGGTATGGGGTAGGGGTATGTAGCTCTTTCTCTCATCCTTTAGTGGGGAGGGTAGTGGGAAGAACCCAGAAGAACCCACATCTCTGGGGACCAGGAATAAATCTTATTTTCCTGACTCCTAAGTCTGATTATGATTTTCTTGAGGAGCAGCCTGTACTTTCTGTCTCATTACAACCCCACTCAAGGACATGATCAGTCAGTGTAACCTGGAAACCAGCTTGATCCACCTGGAAGGGTGCTGTGAGATCAATGAGATGATACACATGAGTGTTCCGAGTTTCTGTGTCACTGTTCTCACATGACATGCAGTTAAGAGAGAAGCCATGGAGATTGGGGGAACAGAGGCATGATCATGCATGGCATGGTTGACTTGACTATGCCCTCCCATAGCACAGATGAGGGTCAGATGGGCCTCTGGCCCCTGAAGTTGATCATCCCCTAGAGCTGAGTGTTGTCAACAGCTACAAGGGCAGGAGCTGCATGTTCCCAGTGGGTCCTAGGTGGAAGTGAGCTTCTTATCCCATGAGCTTCCTGGACCACAACAATGAATTTTCATCATCATAGCACATGGAAGCAATGTTCTGTGGGAAACTGAGGGATAGAGAGGTTCAGAATCTGCAAAAACACTGAGTAAAGCAAACACCTGAACTAAGGCTGAAAATTGTAGCAGCATCCAGGTGCATATGTGGGGCATGACCCAGCTATCTTCTCATCCTGGGCTCCTTGTCATCTGCCAGAAGCGCCCAGATGGACAGGAGTCACACCCAGAGAAGTCTAGCTGTGTCATCTGTCCTCTGTGCTACTTCACAAACAGAAGCCACAGCTGCCAGCTCTGTACGACAGGTAGGTGAGTCTGGGCTGGTGGCCACATGATTTCTGGGAAGGACTAGAATACAAGATGGACTGTGAAGATTCCACTCACCGTTTGGAGGCAGAAATTGCAATATCAGGCAGCTAAATTTATTCCGTGGTGTTAATGCAAGAAGGATCACATGGCAGACAGAGTGACTCAGAGGCCAGGCTTACTTTTTTTTTTTTTTGTTTGATTGATTGATTGATTGATTGACCGACTGATTTGGAGATTTAGTCTCCCAGGCTATTCTTGATCTTCTGGATTCAAGTGATCCTCCTGCCTTCGCTCTCAAAGTTCTAGACAGATTCGTACTTTTACAACAACGTTCTCTCCCAGAATTAATTGGTGTCCAAGAATCACTACATTATCTCCTTCCAAAGACAGAACTCCTGTGACCTACCACTCAGATCTAGCTCTTAAATGTTCTACCCCTTGCCCACATGGCCATGCTGATGATTGAGAGGCCAAAATGTGAACCTTTAGGAGATAACATATCCAAACCGCACCAAGCCACAGAACTTGACTAGCCTGAACACATCCCAGGGACTCAGATGACCTGAAGAATCTAGGTACCACTAGGACCCATACATGTGCCATGGGTGATGGAAACAGGTGCTCCTTGAACTCCAGGGCTATGACAAGGAGTGAATGAGATGATGCAGATGGAGAGACTATATAGAGTGGTGGGGAGCCAGACATCAAGCATGGTTCAAGTGCAGCTTCTGCTCTGTTCTTGTTGTATGACCCTGGAAGAGTGTTATGGACCTCAGTGTGCAGTTTATACTATTATAAATCAAGCTGTTTATTCTGTTGCAATGTCCAATTACTCATTGCTAATAGTGATTTATGAATATTGACCCTACATTCTTCACCCATGCCTTCTTCATTGATCTGTTATGACTTTTGTGTAGATTTCTTAGAATTTTCTTTATACACAATCTTCATGTTTGTGAATAAAGATAATTTAAATTATACCTTTGAGGTACACATACCTTTTATTACCTTTTCTTGCTCTACTACATCGTCCACAATCTCTAGTACTACTATTTTAAATAGAAGTGGACATCTTTGCTTTGTTCTAGGTCTTAGGGGGGGAATATTCAGTTTATGATCATAATGTATGGTGTTGGTTGTAGTTTGTTATGGAAGTCTTCAGTTGGATTGAGGAAGTTTCCTTCTATTTCCAGCTTATCATGGATTGTTACTGTATTCTGTTTTTCTGTATTTATTGAAGTGAGAATATAGATTTAATTTACTTTCTTTTTCCAAGATGTGGAATATGATTTTGTGCATGTTAAGCCAATTTGGAAACTCTACATGATCATGATATTTTATCCTATTTTAACTTTATTTTTTTATTATTGATTACATTCATCATAAGGGATTTGTGCTTGTAAATAATATATCTTAAATCTTTATTCCCATTCCTTTCTCCTCCCTCCAAACTTTCTTCTTCTCCCCATTCACAAAAGCTTTGTTTCCATTGTTTTTTTTTCATTCTCCTTTTTCCCTTTCCCCTTCCTTCCCTTCTCCCATACCCCTCCTTGTTCACCCTTCCATTTGTCTTACTTTTATCATTTTTGAAACAAAATATTTGACACCCAAAGTTAAAGGAGGAAAGGTTTATTTTGTCTCCACAGTTTGTAGAGGTTTCCACACGTAACTGCCTGGCTCCAAGGTGGGTGGCAGGACAGAGGTGCATCACAGACAAGAGATAGTCTATGGAAAGAGCAAGCAATAAGTGACAAGACCTGACCACAACTCTTTCTGTCCCTTATATCTTACCAAAGCCACCCACCCGCTTAAGGCAGGTAGCACTACGCACTTATCCTAACATCAAACCATGAATCAATCTCAGCATCATGTCCTTGATCCCAGCAGCACAAACCTTAGATCCAGCCACCTCCACAAAGCCTCACCCATGGCAGGCTGAGGTTTGGGGGGGACATCTAGATACAAACCATAACACCATTTGAACATGTTCTTCCTACTCCCCAATATCTATCCTCCATCATTCTCTTTATTTACTCCTTGGGTTTCTCACACAAGAGAAAATGTGATACTTAAACCTGTGTGTCTGATCTATTTAACTTAAGGCTATGGTCTCAAGGTGCATCCATTTTCCTACAAATGTCCCAAGTTTATCTTTCTTTATGGCAGAGTAGTCCCCCATTGTATACAAATATCACATTTTCTTTATCCATTCATCTTTGGACATATGGACTGTTTTCAAAGTTTAGCTATTAAAATTGTGCTTCTATAAACATGGGTGTGTATATATCACTGTAGTATGATGCTTTTAACTCTTTTGGGAAAATACATAGAAGGGGAACCACAGGGTCAAATAGAATCTCTTAGTTTTTTGAGGATCTCCATGCTGATTTATATATTGGTTATATCAATTTACACACCTACCAACAATGAAGAAGGGTTCCTCTTCCCTACAACCTCTCTAGCATTTGGTGTTGGCTGATTTATTGAGAATAGTCATTCTTTCTGGAGTGAGATGGAATCTCATTGTTTAAATTTGCATGTCTTGAATGACCAGTGATATTGAGCAATTTTTCATATATTTATTTGCTATTTTTACTTCTTCATGTGTAAACTGTCTGTTCATTTCACATGCCAGTTTTTGGATTGGTTCTTTAAATTTGAGAAGTCTGGTATATTTGAGTTCTTTACATATTCTAGATGCTAATCCTTTGTCTAAAAAACAGCTGATAAAAAAATTCCCCTTTCTATGGCTTGTTTCTTTATGTTGTTGGTCATTTCTTTTGCTGTGTAAAACCTTTTTGCTGTTGTTTTGGGGTTTTTTAGTTTGGTTGGTTCATTACTTGCTTGGTTTTGGATTACGGGTAGATTTCAAGAGAACCCCTTGAAAGGACATTAAGGAGAGGCAGGGCCCCTGGATGCTGCTGTAGGAGTCTGTGAAAAAGGTATCAGCAACTGAGGCTGGAGGGGACTGGTCACCTATTGTGCATCATGACAGGGTATTTTGGAGCATCCTGGCTCAAAGGGTGGATCTCTTTTTTTTAAATTAAGTTTATTGGTACATTTTCGGTATACAGTACAGTTACATTCATTACTGGGATCTTGTACCTTTACATGCCAGGTCTTGGTTCGCATTTTTTCCCCTTGTCCCTGCCCTCCCTTCACCCTGTCCTCCCCTCCCCATTTGCAAACACTTTATTTCCATTTTTTCATTTTCTCATATTTTTTTCTTTTCCCTTATTACCTTTCCCCTACCCTTCCCACTTTCCCTGCACCTTTAGCCCTTTTCTTCCTATTTCACATTGTCAATTTCAAAGGGTGGATCTTGAGGGGTGCAACCCCTGTTCTGTCTATTCCCAGTGGCCTCCCCTCAAGAACTGTCCACAGGGAGAAGCTATGCAAGATGACACAGGTTTGAACCCCATTTTTTTTCTCCACCTCTCTGAACCAGACATGAAGTGGAGTACTCAGTTCCCCTGTCCAGAACACACCTACAGCTTGCAAGCAGGCAGCGGCTGGCTACAGGACTATGCACCTTGCACCCCAGAAGCCTTTTGCCCTAGTGGACCCCCCAAGCCTGTGCCCTGCCCATGGTAAGGAAGATCAAGCCAGGGGTGTGACTGTGCTGTAAGTCAAGGTACCACTGTGCATTGCATCCCTGCTGGAGCCCAGCACAAGCCTGGGCACAGAGGGATCCACACAGATGGGAGGGTTGGCCTATCCTAGGGACTCAACTGCCTTGTGGAGACACAAGGCAGAAAAATGGCCTGGCCCAGCCAAAACTCCAGGTGCTGAGGATGGCAGGTAACCTCTGCAGCCCACAAGTTGAACCAAGAATTCACTCTGGGCTGGAGGAGGTAGGGAGTTATATGAGATGACTCACTCCAGCTTAAAAGAGTGGCAGAATCGAGGAATTTAAATAGTATTTCATGCTTCTGTCTTTTAAGAGCATTGTCAACAAATGTCAAAATCAAAGTAGGGGAATTAATAATATAAAGGAAAGGCCAAGCATCTACCTACTTTCTGCCTTATTATATAGAGGTTTCTGATAAGTCAGTGAAGGTAAGAGAAAGGAGTGAGAGAGAGAGAGAGAGAGAGAGAGAGAAACAACAGAAAGATAAATGAAGAAGAGAGAGAACTTTGAGAAGAAGCCTTATTTGCCTGTGTGTACAATCTCTGGACCTGCACTCCCCACACAAGACCCGCTGGGAGGCTGAAGCAAATGGGGACCTGCCCTGACACCTGAAGGGAGATACTGCTCCAGACGTCAGAGTCAGAGCTATTCCCAGAAGACCAAGGCCCTCAGCACTCCTTCTTCCTTTAGGGGAACCTACAACCACACTCCAAAGGCAGAGCAGGAGGTAGGCTGTGCCTTGTGCTCAGCAGGGCACCAATGTCCCAAGCCAGGAATCATCAAGCCTCAACCCTGCAATACTGGCAGCTTCTCTGTAAGTATCTCCAGATCCAGTGCCATCCTCAGGGCGCAAGAAAGTGGGTGGGGGGTGGCTAGGCCCTGGGCCCACACAGCCTGTCCCAAAGGAGACAACCCTTTGGTCCTCTGGCTAACCAGGGTTCTGCTCCAGGCAGACAGAGGGACACAACTAAGGGTGAGTGTGGGAAGACTCATCACCCCAGGAGGGACTCAAGTCTGGGAAGGACCCAGCTGCTTCCTCTGTGGAGCAGAAAGAGGCAGGAAGCCAGGCCTCAAATCCTCTCCTTGGACCAGGTTGGGGTTCCTTCCTTCCTCTGAGCTGGAGCCTACACACAGGCTGGGAGATTAATAAAACACTTCTTATGCAGGAAAGGGAAGGAGACCCTCAGTGTCTACAAACATCTGAGGAGAAATCTGCCCATGCCCTAACGCCCTCCCAGACTCCAGTAGGAAATCTAGGAAATCCCTGTCTGCCCAGAAACAGGATTGGCCAGCCCCAACCTGAACTCCTCTTCTAGCCCCAGGCCTGCTAAATAGAATATAGGGTCCGGAATGAGGACTGTAGGTGGACTTGCACCCAGCTTCTCTTCTGACTTCTGCTTCCAACATAGTCTCTCCCATGGGCCTGTCTGGGGACGTATTCCCATTTAGTACCCTTCAGGTGGTGAGGGCATCTGATTTCATTCACACCCCACCTCAGCCAGGAGGAGAGGTCTGGGGCTTCCTTCCGTACTCAGAGGAGCACTCATATTCTCTTTCCACTGCTCCAGTATGTACTCACATGTCATCACGCATATCTCTAGGTCCATGTGGAAGGTAGCACTGCATGAGCCCTTCCTGGCTCTGCCAACTCTGCAGCCTCCACTTATCGGTGGGGAGGTTGGGGATTATTCAAGGAAGTGGCCTGAGCTCAGAAAGGCACTAGTAACCCTGGGGGGCAGTGCAGAGCAAATCACTGTAGGTTTCATGAGGACACTGCCTATGGAGTCCAGATAAGATCTTCCCTCACTCCTTATCAAGTCTATCATCGCACCTCTCATTTATCTAGAGCTTCACCAACTGCAAGACATATGCCAGCCCGGGCACCACCACCCCCAGACCATAACTTTCCCTTTTAGAAAGAGGAAGGTCTACATATGGCAGAGCAAGGATGCAAACCCAACAGGGCAACAGTGCCTAGTACCCTCTTAGAGAATCCAGGATACTTCCATGGCTATTAGGAGTCCTGGCAGTCTGGAAGAGGTAGGAAGGCTCAGGGAAGAAGAGCCCACTGTGAAGTCCACACACAGCCCAGATTCTGCATCAGCCTCTCCTGACAAATATCAGGTCCTCCTCAGATACAAAGCTGGTCAGTCTTGGAGACACAAGATAAGTTTGGCTTCAGCTCACTGGGAGAGGTGCTTTGGAAAGCATTTTGTCTGGATTACAGGTTTAAAGAGCATTAAAGATAAACTTTGGTACAGAAATCAGCTCACATCTAGGAAGAGTGCAAAACACAGGGCACACAGAATAGGATGGCAGAATTTCTTCGGAATTTCTCCTCTTTCATAAATTCCTAGGTCTAATGTTCTGATGTGTCAAGAGAGATTTCATCATGGTGCCATTAACTTTCATAGACAGACCACAGTTCTGCCACACCTGACCTCCCTGAGAAAAGAGATGCACATAGGTCCTGAGCATCTATGCTGCACCAGCTCCTTAAGGGGTAAAGTGGTAGAGTCATGTTGCTAACCCATTTCAGGGTCCAGGAGGTATCCGGTGCCACCACTGCCCAGGAGGAAAACTCTGCAACCAAACAAAGTTGGCTGGCCCTTTAGCATGTCCACCTGGTCACTACTGCCCAGCCTCAGGCCTGCTATCCATCCCCTGCCCCATGGTGAGACCCTCTTCAAAACCCTCAGCTGAGTCGCTGGACTTTGGTAGGAAAGCTCTGGAGTCCTCTGCCTCGTCCTGGTGTTGGAAGGACAACATCCCTCCATTGTGATTAAACTCAGTACCCCCAGCATAGGAAGCACAGAGTCACCCAGGCTGGTGGCAGGCAGGGAAGGGAGGAGGAAAAGTCAGGGCTCCTGAGGCTAGAAAAGCAGGTGCAGGAGTTCCAGGGACATGAACTTCACCCCCACACCCTCATCATGGCTGCCCCTCTAAGACAACCCTTTTTAGGTAACCAGGCTTCCCTGTTCTCCCTGAACTCCTACTATCAGAATCTGCTGTGAAGAAGTGGTCACTATAGCCATCTTTATAGGGCAGGAATTTTGCAAGTGCTTGATCTATAGAAAAGTCAGAGCCACCCACTAGTGTGTCTTGGGTGATGTATCCTTGGAGAAGATGATTCATCTACTCCCCAGGGAGGAGTAGAGGGTTAAAGGGGAAGGAGCGGTCAGTAGAACCCTGGCAGAGGTCAGCCTTCAGCCCACCTCTGGCCTCCAGGAGCTTGAGTTTAATCTCTCCCTTTGTCTCCAGGGCACCTTCCGAGAGGCTCCTGGGGCTGCTCGTGTGGAGGACTGCCAGCTGTGTCTCCCTGGAGCCTTCTGTGGCAAAGCTGGCCTGGCCAAGCCCCAGGGACTGTGCCACCCAGGCCATTACTGTGGACCTGGCTCCAGCACTGCAACCCCAGTGAGTCTACTAGAGACAGAGACTCCTGCAGAAACAGAACAAGTGAATGACAGGCACTAACCCTACCCAATGAGAATGCTATGATGGGTGGAAAAGTGGCCCACTTCTAATGCTTGGGCATCACTAGACAGGGCCCAGATGAGAATATGTTGCCAGCCAAAAGGCACAGCACTGATATCAAGGACACACAGAGCAATGCCCTTGATGCACCTGAGAGATCTATAATCACCACAGAAGGGGAGACAAGTGCTGGGCCCCTCAGACACATCACTGTGAGTAGAGTCCTGCCCAGCCCCACTGCACCCTGAGCCTACAGCTGTAGAACAACTACTATCTGCAGCAAAAGCCAAGGCACTTCCCACCCTGGATCCAAAACTCCAGTGTGGGAAAGAACAGAAAAGAAGTGAATTTATTTATGTAAAAGTGTTCAACATGCAATGTTTTAACAGCAACATAAAAAAGTAACAAAATACCACAAAGGCCCAGTAAGAGAAAAAATATCTAGGTGGAAATATGATAGATTAACCATTTTGGATGTCAGGTAACTATTCTTAATGACAAACAGGTACACTGTTTGATGCACAGAAGATTGGTATTGTTGATTAATTGATATATACATAGATACACATTTTGGCAGAAAGCTGTAAAAATGCATATGTGTACTATTAGCAAAAAGGCATACAGTTGGAATTGTTTAGGTTACTTAACAATTCAACAGTTAAAACTGAGAGTTTCATTTTTCTGAAAGTTATGATCACAGAGTAGTTCTGAGAAGGATGCTGAGAGCTGAGGTACCTCAATTGAGCAGGCTGGGCCAGACGAGCTCTTCAGAGAAGGGTTCAGGGAGGCCCAGGAGGGAAATGAGTGGAGAGAAGACACTTACTTGCAGCCTTAAGCCTCAAAACCCCCTCTTCCTCCAGGAGGGACGCCCCTTTGGTAACCTCTGCCCTCCAGGCCATTTCTGCCCTGCTGGCACCAAGGACCCCAGGCAATGGCCCTGCCCTGCTGGCACCTGGAATGCAGAGAAAGGGGCTCAAGACTTGAGCTGGTGCCTGCCCTGCCCACCTGGGTTGTTCTGCGCTGCAGCAGGCCAGGCTGCCCCCAGGGGCCCCTGTGCACCAGGTGAGGGTCCCCACAGAAAGGCCTCCCACCTGGCCACCTAGGGCCTCAGTACCTGAGGGACAGCCATACTAGAAAGAGAGTCAAGGTTGATATGCCCTGGTCAACATGGCCAGGCTTGGGCTGATGAGAAAGGAGAGGGGCTGAGAGCTGTGGGGGTGGAGATGGGGTCTCAGAAGCCTCGTCACAAACCAGCCCATTTCACAGGCCTGGGCAGAAAAGGAGGACTAGGAAATGGACAAGTGTAGCCCCAAGGCTGAGATGAGGGTTCGCTTCTCCCATCCTGCTATCTACACCTTGTCCCCATGAGGACATGGATTTGCACTTGTGGATCGAAAGGACCCTACCTCACAAGCTTCTTGGGGACAGCACAACTTTATGCTGTGACACCAGGCAGCAGGAACCCAGTCTGAGAGGGAGGCCTGGCTCCAGCCCAGAAAGCTCCAGCCTACTCCCTCCTCTACCTCCAGGATTTCACTGCCCAGGAGGAGCACTCACTCCAAGACCACTGGGAGGACCTTGGAGACACCTTGGAAGACCCCTAGTGGCCATGTCCAATCTGAACAGAGAGCACAGGAATGGCACAGGTACTTGGTGGCTCAGAAGACTGTCGAGTTGCTATGGAAACCTGTTACAGACTAGAAGGGGCAGGACTTCAGATGACCTGAGCTGCTGCTTCTCCAGACCAAGAGGCCTTCGCAGAAGGGACCTGTAATGCTGGTCACTGCAGCCCCCAAGCCAAATCCAGTCCCTGGCAGGGCCAAGGCCAGACCCAGAGCTGACCACCTTGCCCTGCAGGTAAAGAGAGGGAGCAGACAGCTTCTGTCCTGGGAAGAGAGACCAAGGTAGTGTTTAGGGTCTGAAAACAGTATCTCACTGAAAACAGTATCTCAACAGCTTCTCCTTCTGGGCCAGGGACAGATTATAGAGAGGCCTTGGGACAAGGTAGGATTCTTCCTCCCTGTGGAAAGTCACTTCATTCAGGAGCTCTAAATGTTCACCTTGTGCAGTTGAGATGTATATTAAACACCACAAAATTTGGAATAATATTTACAGAAACTGAGCTTGATGAGGACTATAACAGATAGGCTTAGGGCTCAGGGATGGCCCTACGTAGGCTAGGAACACAGGCCACAAGGTGCTGCAGACACAGTACTGGGGCCTCTGCTGTCCAGGGGAGGGGTCTGTACAGGTGGATCCCTCAAGGAAACCAAGGTAAGTGCTAAACTAAGCCAGGAGATGACATCAAAGTTTTAAATCACAGAGCATTTGGGCTGGAGATTGAAGACTTCCCACATGTCTCTCTTCCAAAGATGATACAAACCAGAGCTTGCATCCCTGAGGCCTTCTACCCTGGGAGGGTTCCAGCACCAGTGTCCAGGCCTAGCTCCCTTGCATGACCTCAGTGCTACTTGGAACTGAGTTGGGTACTCAAGCCTATCTGGGAGCTCTGGGGTTCATGCTGGGGGCTCAAGGGAATCCCAGAGAATGTGGGACTCAGAAGCGGATAACATCCCCTACTCCTGTTCTCAGCCCCTCTGTCCTTGTCCCAGGAGGTGAGATAATACAGCTGCTCTATCTCCTCAGTTTCATGGGTATTGTCCAAGTGACCATGCAGGCTGCAGGCCCTATGGTTTAGGAAGCATAACAGTGCTTTCTCACGGCACCTCAGCCTCCTTTGTGAGAGTGTGACTTGTGCTCATACACAGTAAAGACATGTCCTTATGTGCACATGGGCATGAGTGCGCACGTGCGCACACACACACACACACACACACACACCTTTGGGTAGTCACAAAAACAGCACCATATAACTGTATTTTCTCCTCTCGTAAAAATGCAAGGTTCTCCTTTTTTGGGGGGGTTTTCATAGAATATAAGTTACCTTCTCAGTCCAGAAGGATCTGAGAAAACTATCAAGACGTGACCTAATGGTGCAAAGAAAAGCAACAAATTAGGCCAAATCTCCCTTCTAGGATGCTCTCTAAACTGAAGGACAAGGTACCTATATCTACCTGTCCCGAAGACAGGCAGATCCGGGCAGCCCCTTGCTTTCTCCCCATGCTTGCCTCCTAAGCAGGCTCCCATAATCCTTAAGAAAGAGGTGTGTCTCAGGCTCTCCTACCAGTTTTGGTGCTCCACTGCCTTATTTCTACATCAGAGCTATGTGAGATGGGATGGCTGGGGCTAAGACAGAGCTGCTTTGTAGTCTTATTCATCCCTGACTGGGTAGGAGCTGAGGCTGTCCACCCTGATGAAGAGGCCCATGCAACCACAGGAGGTCCCTGTCCTGTAGGCCACTTCTGCCCAGTGGGAACTGGAATGCCTCTCCCCTGCCCTGTGGGTACCTTTTCAGACCGGTGAGTACTGCTGCCCAGTCCTGGGGGCTGAACATAATGCTGGCTGGCTTCCTCCCAGCCCTCCTTCCTACTGACCATCAGACCAACCAAGAAGCCCAGCCATGAAAAGCATTGGCCTAATAAAGCAGAATTCCCTGGCCTGAGAGAGCAAATCTTCCCCGGTTAGGCAGGGTGATGCAGAAAGATCATACAAGGCTTGTCCTCATGGGGCTTGAGACTTGCTTGTCATGTGCCAGAGAGCAAAGCCATAAAGAATCTCTTCCCAGCCTTTGTCTGATTTGAGACCAGACTTCATTTCAGTCTTTAGGAAACTGCCAGCCCCCAAGAGTTCACCAGAGTAATTAAATGTTCTACTTGTAGTTGCTAGATTCCAGGGGTATGTGGCCATGGACAACTGAGCTCAAATTGGGATTAGGAGGGAAAAGAATAACTGTGACCAGGTGCCTGTTGAGGCTGGAGGCAAAGTGAGGCCATCCTTTCCTCTCCATATCCGCCATATACAACCTGGATCCATTGTGAGCAGGAGAGCCACAGGGGGCCTCAAGGAGGAGGGGTGACTAGGAAGCCCCAGGAAAGCAGTCTTTATAGGGATGCATCTGCCCCACCCTACAGAGCTCCCTCGTCCTACTAACCATTTCCCTGCTACCCTGCCCCTCCTGGCATATCTCCTAGATTTCTTTCTGTCTACCCAGGATGTTCCTCTCCAAGGCCTCTGAGTGCCTGTCCTGTCCCCCTGGACATTTCTGCGCAGCATCTGGCCTCATTACTCCCTCAGGACTCTGTGCCCCTGGCTACTTTTGTCTAGTGGGAGCTTCCTCCCCAACTCCAACAGGTATGGATCCTCTCAGATAGGCTTGGCCCTGCCCCAGCCAGGTACCCTGCAGTGAGGAAGCACAATGGCGAGGGCTCTGATCACTAGGGATAACTGCATGTTACATAGTTTAAGGAAACAGGGACACAGGAGGGAGATTTTATGACCTTTGGCCAAGCTGTCTGTATGACTGATGCTTCTAGTCTCAGCAGCAATGTGGCCATGCTTATCTGCTGCAATCACACTGGCATCCTCAGAGCCCACCTCTGAATCTGTCATAGGCTTGCTGGGATGTGGGCAGAAGGGACTGGGGGGCTGTTAGTGGGAACGACATGGTTCCTTGTGAGTTACCAAGAGGCTGAACTGAGCAAGGGCATCATCCACCATGGAGCTGCCATAGCGGGAGCTACATGCCCAGGGCAGACCATCTGCAATCCCTGCAAGGCACATGGGAGGTTAAAGGGACCAGTCCCCATCCTGGTGTCTAAACCTGGCTGTCTCCTGGAGGAGGCTCCTTGCACAGTGTTTCCAACTGCCAAGTGTTTTCATAGACGCTGCTAGTCCAGGTGGCAGATGGAATCTGGCTTTTCAGTGATGGGGCAGAGAAGGATGAGCCTCAGCTTCAGGAAGGCAGCTGAGCCTGGGCTGGGGCCCCAGAATCCCTACTCTCTGATATGTCTACTGTTCAGAAAACCTCCAAGGCACAGGTCAGCTCCACGGTAGTGTGTGAAGTTCTGAGGAGCTGCGGGTGGGGTTCTAGAAGGAGAGAGACTATTCCCATCAGGGCTGCTGAGCCAAGACAAGAGCCCAAAACAGAATAGGCCTCCTGGGTGAACACAAGTGGACATGAAGGCTGTGCCCTCTAGGGCTGCTTACTGGAAAGTGAGCAGCAGCAGGGCATTCTTGGAGAAAGGGCCAGGAGGGATGGCAGAAAGCAGCTATGAGCCTGAGCAGAGCCAAGGCAAAGCCTGCCCCTCTACTGTCCTCTCAGGATATCATCCTGAGATCTTTCAGTCTTCCTGTACTCCTGTGAGGGGGCTGTTCTGAAGGCTCAGATGATATAATGTATGCATAAACATGCTTTTTCATCTTACATATCTTTCTTTCTCCCTCAGGCCTCTCAGAGCGTGGGGGTCCCTGTCCCCGAGGCCACTTCTGCCCCTGGGGAACCAGCCTCCCACAGCCCTGTCTCTCCGGCTCCTACAGCACCCTCCCTGGCCAAGCCTCCTGCTTCACCTGCCCTGCTGGCTACTATTGTCCAGAGAACATGACCGACTATAGAGAGCACCCCTGCCCTGCTGGCTTCTACTGCCCTCCAGGTGAGCACCTCCCCAAGGATCATGTTCTGGGGACAAGGAAGGGACTCTAGGCTCAGCTCAGAAGCACTGTGCCTCTGGGCTTAGTGCCAGGAGAAGAGGGTGCACCAGCAGGGAGGACACCCTCTTCTGAACTCTGCTTCTCAGGCACCAAGTACGCCACCCAGTTCCCCTGCCCACGGGGCTACTACAACCCAGACTCACTGACTCACAGCCTGGACAGCTGCTTGCCCTGCCCCCCAGGCCACTACTGTGGGCAAGAGAACCTGACCAAGGCTTCAGGACCCTGTGATGCAGGTGAATCTCTCATATTGGTCCCTTTTCAGCAGTGTGCTTCCCATTTATACCCCAGGTCTGAGGTCAGCTGGACTATAACTCAAGCAGCTGCTGGGAGGGCTGGGCCTCTGGCTTTGTGAGCTCAGCCTTGATCCCCTAGGCCAACATACAGCCCACCCGCCTGGTTCCTACCTCAGGCTGGTTCTGTGTGCTGGCGGCATGGACTGCCCGTCCCTTTGACCTGGACAACTACACCAGCACCAACTGCCTGTGCCCAGCCACAGCCACAGGGGGAAAGTGCCCAGCTGGCTCCTACTGCCCCATGGGCAGCCCAGAACCTACGCCCTGTCCACCAGGTTCCTTCTGTGCCACCTCTGGTAAGGATCCATTGTACCCAGTATCACCACACCATCACCACCACCACAGACAGTAGGAAGGGAAAAAACATAAGGGCCCAGAAGCAGCTGAGGTCTGGCTGAGGCGCTGAGAGAGGCAAAACAAGTGTGGTGATCAGTTTCCTTCTTCCCCTGTGCAAGAAAAATCAGTTGTACACTGACCTCACAGCAGTGTGCCATGTCCTTCCTGCCAGGACGAAAGGACACAGTTCCTTGCTGTGGCCCCACCCTAGGATGAGCACAGGCCAGTCACCTCAGGATAGCACAGGAGGAGGGGGAGAACCAGGTCAGCAGGCCTCTCTGCAGAGGCAGGGGCTGGGGACACCTGACCTCCCAGCTGTGTCCACACTGTGGATAGACGCTGCTAGTCACTTCCACCGGGATGTGCACTTGCTCATCCTGCCTGGGATACTCCCTTCTCTCCCCTGGGCTGCAGATATCTGTGAGGTTAAGACCCCATGCTGAATCTACAGCTCTGCAACTGCTTGACCATGAGCTCATGTTCTGTAATTAAGTAGTAGCTGTGTCACTGGGTTTAGTGAGAAAAGAAAAACTAAGGAACGCTAAGCACAGGGCTTAGCACAGGACTCACCAAAGGACTCAGCAGAACATACCAGCTACTACTGTAGACATAAACACACTTCAGCAGATTCAGAACAGGCTTGAACAGACTCACTGCAGGCTCAGTACCAACACAACATAAAGGCTCAGCACAGATTCACTACTGGGTTCAATACTCAGCACAGTCTAGGCACAGGGCTGTGTGCAGAGCTGAACCCAGGCTTAGCACAGCCTCAGGACCCGACAGACTCTGCATCAGATGTGTTTCTCAGTCCCTGCCATGAACTCCAACAATACCCTGAGTTCTCCAAGGACAAATTCCTACACCGACTTCACTTTAAATAAATTTAATCAGCCAGCACCCTGGTCTGGTTCCCTCTCACCCTCAGGCCTCTCCATACCCAGTGGCCCCTGCCAGGCTGGCTACTTCTGTGCAGGAGGTTCTATGTCTCCAGCTCCTGAGGATGACATTACAGGGGCCCCTTGCCCTCCAGGTTCCTTTTGTAGTAAGTATCTCCTTTGATCCATCTCAGCCCAATGCATCCTCCTGTCCCTGAACTACAAATAGGCCCAGTTGTTTGTTTGCCTGGACTTCTTGGATGATAGGGAATAAGCCAGAGAAAGGAGAGGTGTTCTTTGGCAGCTGGCCAGCAAGGAGGAGCCTTGTAGAGGGTGTGGGTAAAGGACAAGTTGAGCCTTTGCTGTGGATTGAATGGTTTGGTATGGACAGCTGAGGGCCCATTGATGGTAGCCAGATGGCACATGGGGCCTGGTCAGCTCTCCATGGTCTGAGCACTGGTGAGTCTTCTGCAGCCTCAGGAAAAGAGCCTGGGATCTCTCTGTGCTGCAGAGAAGCCAGGGAGGCAACCCAGCTGAGGTTGGGCAGCAGTGAATCCTGCAGGTCTGTGGCTCATGAGCCATTCAGTGCTTCAAAGTCAGGTACATTCCTGCTGCCAGTAAGGAGTCTCTGCCCCTAGACCTGTGTCTTCCATGTACCCTCAGCTGCAGGGTCTGACAGGCCTACGCCATGTCCTGCTGGCACTTTCTCCAGCCTTCCCAAGCAGACCCTGCTATCTGCCTGCCAGCACTGCCCACCAGGCTTCTTCTGCAAGGAGGCTGGTCTTCACGGCCCCAGTGGGCTGTGCCCTAAAGGTAAGAGGGAAGATCTGAACAGTGGGAAGGAAAAGACAGACGAGGGCCCAGAAACAGCTATTTGGGAAATGGGCTCTGGGATGCGCCCCAGTGGGCTCTGGTGGCAGGAGATGGTACTAGGAACATGTGTCATGGGGAGGAGCAATTCTTCCTCCTCAGTATCCCTCACTTCTTCCAGGCTATTACTGTGACCCCAGTGCCAGGCCTATCCAGGACTTCAGCTTGTACCCATGTCCTCAAGGATATTACTGCCCACTGGGCACAGCCAAGGCCACACAACACAGCTGCCCAGTAGGAACTTATGGTTCTCAGAAGGGGCTGACAAACATCACTGAGTGCCAGCCCTGCCCTGCTGGAAAGTTCTGTGCACAGCCCGGGCTCACAGCTCCTACAGGTATAGATACACAAGGTTCTCACTTGGGGACCAGAGGATGGGGAAGGGCCACAAGGAGAAGCTCCTCAGCCCACGCCACTGTGCCACATGGCTATGTGGGGAAGAAAGGGGTGTGCGCACTCACTGCTCACCCTTCCCTCACACACACTTAGAGTGGTGCCAGTACGGTGTCCCAGCCCACACCTCAGGGTTGCACCTAAGTGCCTGGTACTGGAAGGGTCTCCAGGAGCTTCTGATGCCACCGAGGTCTGAGAACCCCTTACTACTTCACCCCTACCTAGAGGCAAAACTACACTTGGGCTACTGCTCACAGGATTGTCCCCACCCCTTTCCAGTAGAGCTGCAGGTTCTGCCCAAGAATCTTAGTCTCTGCCCTATGGTTAACTAATTTGAGGGTTTAGACTACTTTCTTGGGATGCTTGTGTGGCTTCTGTGAGAAATGGCTAGGAATGTTTGAACCCTTAGAAAAATACAAGCCTGTTCATGGATGGTCTCTGTGGAAGTCACCCCTCAAACCGGACCTGACTCCGTAAATCCTTAGTGGGAGTCCTGTGCTGACTGAGGCAGGAGAAGGGACTCTTTAGGACCTACCTTAGGCTAGGACCCATGACAGGTTGGCCTTGGGTCTGTGGCCAGCCTGCGGGGAAGAGTGAGCATCCCTGCTGGAGAAGCTTTGGGACCACACTGACCAAAAATGCCCTTCTCCCCAGGAGATTGTGTTGCAGGACACTGGTGCAAAGTAGGAGCTGCCAGCAAAGACCCCACTGATGGGACACAGGGCCTCCTCTGCCCAGCCGGACACTACTGTATCAAGGGTATCTCCCCACTTCCAGGGCCACTGTGGCCATGGCACTATGACACCCCTCTCCTGTTCCAACCCTCTGCTTCCTCCATGTCTTCCCAGAGCAGGTCACAGCAGCCCTGCCTTGCAGCCAGGCCAATCTTCCCCCCATGTGCTCTCACAAGGCCCACACTGCTATCCCTGAAAGCCTCCCAAATGTGAACCTGGGACACCCTGCTGACCTGGAACATCACTGACCTTCCTGTGTTCTTTCCCTCCTCTGCCTTTCATGCCTTTCATTTTTTACCCGAGAGGCCTGTCGAAGCCTGGTTTCTCTTTCCCTCCCAGGACCTTGCTGGCTGGACAGCAAGTACCACACAGCTTTTTATTTACCTGCAACAGGGATCTGTGTTCAGTCAGGGAAGGTGACCGATTGCTCTAGAACTAAAAGGTCTACCCTCTGGAGGCTGGGGGAGGTTTTTCTACTCTGGTCTTTGAAGAGGGAGAGAGCCAGGGCACAGGAGTTGGGGGGCAGCCTGGCCACTTTCCTAAGCCTCCCTGATCTTGTAGGAGCACAAGTCCCAACCCCCTGCCCAGCTGGCACCTGGTCTGTGGAAGGTACCAGAGCCCCAGAAGGATGCCAACAGTGCTTTGAAGGACAACTCTGCCCTGGGAGGCACCTGCCAGCCTGGCCAGCACTTTGCCACTCAGGGTGGGCACACAGTTTGTCTCCTCTACTCTCCAAGTGCTGGGCTAGGAGCTTTGTCCACAGAGCCAGGAGTCAGCTTCACCTAGAGTTGGGCCACCAGAAGCCAGTGGACCGTGTTGGGAGGGCTTCTTCTGCACCAGAGGCTCTACCAGACCAAGGGAGAAAATCCCTCCAGATCATCCAGGGAGAGGCCACCTTCACTGCCCTGGGGGGACTGTGAGCCATGTGCAGAGTATGAAGCTCAGGCCACACTGGGGCCAGCACCTCACAAAGTCACTGAGAGGATTCCAGTGTCCAGTCTTTGGCATCAAGCCACATCCCTGACACCTCCCATGTCAAATAGGGCCATGCTAGAGTACAGAGGAGACGTAAGGGGACACCTGAAAAAAGGGCAGAAGAAGATTAAAGTCAGTGCCCCTATTCCAAGTGTGTGTGTTCCTCAGAGACTGTCCTCAACTATGGCCCTTCTTTTCCCCACATGTTTCCAGTATACCCTGCACTTGGGGAACAGCCCCTGCTACTTCTACAGAGCATCTCTCTGGGATATCCTGTCTCCCTGGACACTTCTGCCTTTGGGGAACTGCTGATTCCACTCCATGTCCTCTCGGCTCCTACATCTCTAGCACTCACACAACAGAATGTCTCATCTGCCCAAAAGGCCATTACTGTGTTCCTGGGATGAGTCTCCAGCTGTGTCCCAGAGGTTAGTGTGCTCCCAGAGTCCGGCTGCCTGATCCCAACATCCCCAGACCTTGCTTCAGCCTCTGGCACCCAAAGACCTATATTGCATGTTTCCATCATGATGCCATCGCTCCTGCCTTCCAAATCACTCATGCAGCCTGGGGTCCCCACCCTCTCCCACCAGGAAATCCTTCAATTTCATCTCCCCTCCCTCCAGCTTCCCAGCCCTCCTCTTGAACCCTGCTTCCTTCACAGGCTTCTACTGCCCCAAAGGTACAGGCCTGGACTGGCAGCCCTGCCCCCCAGGCACCTATGGCCCTGAGCTCGGGCTGAGCACCCTGCAAGGGTGTCAAGTCTGTGGTGGGGGCAGGTTCTGTCCGGTGGCCAACGCAACAGAAGCCAGTGGACAGTGTTGGGAGGGCTTCTTCTGCACCAGAGGCTCTACCCGACCAAACCCAGAGCCCAGCACTGAAGGTACTAGACCCTCCTCTACTTCCTGAGTCCTCCAACTAAGAGATGGAATCTCTGAATCCCCCACCCCTCACCGGTCAACCTGGAAAGACTGCTTTGTCTGTTTTTTCTCACAGCACTGAGTTCCTGTGCTGGGCTTACACTGCCAGGTTCTCTGTGCATGGTGGCAGGATACTGTGGCCAAGAGAGGCCAAGGGGTGAATAGAGCTCTGCCTGTATCCACTCCCCACAGTATCTCCTGTGTTGAATAGGCTCCAGGACTAGCCTCACCCAGCTACCTTAGGGGTTGCAGGTCAGAATTTCTCAGCCAGGCTGTGCCTTTCCCCCACATGGTGATGGCGGAATCAAGGCAGAGAATCTGCAGAAGGACCAGATGAAATGGTCAATCTGCTAGGCTTGTAGGTGGTTCTCGTGTGTAAACAAGGGATCACGGCTGTGATCTGAATCTCCTGATATCATGTCCCCTTAAAAATTCATGGACATGGTCTAGAAACTGCAGCCAGGCACACAGAGCTTCTCATGTGTCCCTTGGAGTCCCCGACAAACTCCTGACAAACTACTGAGCTCCTATCCAATTACTCATTCTAGTACATGAGCAGAAGGGGGTCTGTCCCTTCCTCAGGTTACCTAGGCAGTCACCAGGCTGGGTCTCAGGAATACTGACCATGGTCTAGCATTTTGCCACTCTGCATCCCCAAAGTTATACAAGACTCTGGCAGGCAAAATTCTCTCGGTGTGTAGCTCATCCCCCAGCTCTGATGGTCACGTCTGCCTAGCAACAGCCAGAAAACAACAGGTTCCTGACCTCAGTTCTCCGGGGACATGTTGGAGTATGGTCCACGCAGAGCAAGGGAGAACAAGAGAGGAAGCACAGTCAGGTAGCTCAGAACTATCCTACTTTGTGAGTGTTCCTGGGAAATGTGGAAATACCAGACCACACAAATGTCTGCACAGGCCTGGTACCAAAACAGAAAGAGACAGTCATCTAGTGAGCCCCTACCTACATTAGACACAACACAACCAATCCCCCATACCCCCAGAGATCTTTGGTCAGAAAAGTTCCCCTAAACCTCCTCATGCAAGCACTGGTACAGCAGGTAACGTGAATAACTAGATACAGAGTGTGGCCTAGGGAAAGGACTCCTCCTCCCAGTGTCCTCAGAACCAGCAGTTCAATTGTCTAGATTCCAGAGCTTATACCAGGAGCACAGGGAAATCTGCTTCTTATTGACCTTCTAGTGGCTAGACTGACCCGTGTCTTATTTCCAGAGGAAGCCGGCCCTTGTCCTCGGGGATACTACTGCCCGAGGGGCTCAGCTGTGTCCCAGCCCTGCCCACCTGGTACCTTCAACCCCTGGCTCAAGCTCAACTCTGAGGTAGGGAGACCCAAACCACGAGAAGGCCAGATGTGGTGGAGGAAGGTCTATTTAGATTTAACCAAAATATACTATCTCCAAGGTCAAATGTTACTAGGAGACTGGAGATAGGGGCCACCTGGCCAAATATCATCCTTCCTCAAGTCTTTACCCAAGGTTACATCCAAGGAGGCCAGCCCTAGCCCCTTGAGCACACAGTACAGTATAGTCTCACCTGCTTTACTTTTTGGCCTTAACTACTTTGATTTCCCCAGTAAAATATAAGCATCTCAAGGTCAGGGAGCCTGTCTTTTAATGGCTTCTATAGTCACAGAGCAGCTCCCAACAAGTATGTGCTGAACCCAACATAACCAGTATACATGCCGCTAAAAGCTCCCAGGGCATTTGTAAGGGTATTGGGAAGGCAGTGTGACTGGGGGGCTTTCAGAGGCAGAGTGAGGGCTTATTGCTGCTTCCTGATATTGGTCAAACCATGAAAGGACATGGAAGCAAAAGAGAAGAAAGGCAGGGACAGAGGAGGGACAACATGCTGGTGGAGGAGTTTGGAGGATGAATTTCTGGCTCTTTGAATCAAGGGCTGGAGCTGTTGCAGAGAGGGGACAGCCTGCAGGATGTAGACAGCCAATTCTGGAAAATTTTCCAGAAGGGTAAGAATGCCTTTGAGGGATGTAAGTGGAAAAGGTAGGCTATAGTAGCAGGAGACAAGGCCATGCGTTGTCATCAGGGATGTCTCCCACAGGCTGCCTGCTCCCTGTGCCCGCCTGGCCATTACTGTGGCTCTGCTGGCCTCACACACCCTTCTGGGCTGTGTAGTGAAGGCTTCTTCTGCCTTGGAGGGGCCATCACCCCAAACAAATCCCTGGAAGACAGGACTGGTGGCCCATGCCCTGCAGGTATGTGTTGGTGTAAAGGTAGCAGAGAAGAAACTTGGGAAGGTAAGGAAGGAACAAGACTCCAAAGCCTAGTGTGAGCTCAGTTCCTCCTGCCTCTGCCACAGATGGAACAAAGGGGCCTGGGAGACTAACAGTTGTACTCCAAGCCCATAGAATCAGAGAAAGGACTGGGGGCCAATCTGAGCAAAAGGAAGAGGAGCTGCCTTCAACTCTAACTTCAAAGTTCTGCTTTCCTTTCAGGACACTTTTGCCCCCCAGGCACGGCCTCCCCAAAGCCTTGCCCAGCAGGCACTCACAATACCAGGATTGCTCAGGGAGGCTGTGAACCATGTCCCCGGGGGTGAGTGATGAGGAGGATCCCTGGGGACCTTCTAGTCTCTGGACTTAAAGTTTGCATTCCCACTTCAGGAGGTGGCCAGGTCAGGAGCTGACTCACACTCCTTCAACCTCAGTTTTCTGTGAGTTGAAGAAGTCATAGGAGAATTTTCCTGATTCCCCTTCAGCCATCTTTCTCTATGTCCTTTGATCTCTTTGTTGAATATCATTGCTTCATTCTTATCAAGCCTGCTCCTTTTTGCTGCCATTTAAGCCATTTCACCCTCCTTAACTCCAAATTCTCAGCTAGGGCCTTACTCTATACAGAGCCGAGTCCTTAGCAAAATAACAACCCTGAAAAAAAGAAGTGGAGGAATACCAGTCAGGCTGCAGGGCTCAATTGGCCTCTCCTCCACTCTCCTCTCTGCAGATTCTTCTGCCCAGCCAACACCTCCTCCATAGTGGGGAATGAGTGTCCCACTGGCCATTACTGCCCAGCCTCTACCACCTTTGCTTCACAGTTCCCTTGCCCCAGGGGCACATACAATCCACAGAAAGGCGCTATCCAACAATCAGACTGCACACTCTGTGAGCCAGGTAAGAGGCAGACACCCAGTGTCCACTTCCCACTGCCACATTAGGCCATACCCTCCTTGCCCAGTGATGAGGATCCCTGGGCCACAGTCCAAGGCATTTTAACAGGTGGGGAGATGCCCAAGTCCTCCACAACCACCTCAGGGCATCTTGTCAACCCCTCCAGGATCCTATTGTCTCCTGCCTGGGCTGGTGGCCCCATCAGGACCCTGCAGTAGTGGGTTCTACTGCGCTCATGGAGCATCTGTCTGGAATCCCATGGATGGGATCACAGGAGACCTCTGCCCTCCAGGACACTTCTGTCCCCGAGGCAGCCCCCTCCCAGCTCCATGTGCTCCTGGTGAGTCTCTGATGGGAAAAGTTGATCTAAGCTCTTGAGAGAAGAGGGGAGTTGTGGCCTTTAGAGATCTCTTGGGGAAGAAAACAGAAAGAAACCCCCAAATTGTCCTTATGGAGCAGGCTATCACATATACATGTAGTGTGTGGTGTGGGGGGTTCAGAAGTGCCCAGGATAACCCACAGCTGGGCCTAGGCTTTCATGGAATAGGGACTGGGATATAGAAATGCTGTAGGGAGTGAGGGAATCCACTGAGCATGGGCCCCAGCATGTTAGAAGGTGACTCAGAGGTGATCAAATCAGTCCATTTGTGAGGTTGAGCAGAAGCGAGAAGGACAGTGAGTCCACCCCCTGAGATGAGCCACCATAGATCTTCACCCGGGAATCTTCCTGTCCCAGCCACAATCCATGTGCCTTCAGGCTCCTTCCTCCCTATCCGGGGCGCCATGTTGATGGAGAACTGTCAGCCATGCCCAGCAGGCTGGTTCTGCTCCCGGGCCGGCCTGAGCTCCCCAGAGGCCCTGTGTGAAGGAGGCTGGTACTGTCCTAGGGCCTCTGTCTCCGGGCACAGTCCAGGTAAGGGTGGTCCCCCCACCCCACCATTCCCAGAGAGGAAAGGGTGGGCTATCCTGGGAAGAGATGTGGGCTGTGGGCTCCAATTAAACTTAGCTTGTACAGCTCCTGGACTGATGCAGGAGGGGCAGGAAACATTGTGGTCAGTGAGGTTCCTGCATCCAGAGCTAGAAAGGGAGATGGAAACCCCTGGGATGATGGAAAGGAAGAGTAGAACTAGGAAGCACTTAAAAGGAACTCAGTAAAAGATGGGGAAAAAATAAAATTACTGTAGGACCAGACACAAGACAGGGAGGCAGGAGGAGAAAGTGTGAACCCAAGGATGAGGGTAGACTCAAGCTGCCTTTAGCTGTCTTCTGGGGCTCATTAAAGGACAGCTTTAAACAAATCAACTTTAACAGTTTATCTGAGTAATTTATGTTTCGTGAATTAGTTGGGGGTCAGAACCAGAAGACATTCCGTGTTCCACTTGGTTGCACACACTACTAGTTACTGTAGCCCAAACTCAGAGAGACCAGAAAAGCCACTTGGTTGGCTACAGCCTGGCATCTGCCTTATTTGGACATAGTTTAAGTCATTGGATGCTTGTATTTGGCTAAAACCTAGCTACTTATTACCAAAAAATAGACTCGTAATTTAGATTGCAGTTTGTGCACTGTTGAAATGCAGTTTGGTAAGTAGCAACCCAGAGTACAAAGATGGCCACAGGTTAACAAGCTCCTGCTTATTTAATCGGACAGCCCTTAGTCCTCAACCTGCACAGTCTGAGTGCATCAGCTTTAAAGTTTGTGAGTAACTATACTAAAGACAGTGTTCAGGGTTTGTTTCCTTTTTAATCAGAATGGATTGAAAGTTGGCCCTGTCACTATATTACTCATTCTCACTCTAACATGATTTCTTGCATCAGAGGAAAAAGCAGTAAAGTTACACCTGGCTCTTGGAACCTGTGTATGGCCTGAGAACCATAACTGTGTGTATCATCCTGGGAAGTTTGGCACTGAGTAGTAAAACAGCTGGGAAGGCTGCTGGGCACAAAGGCCGAGTGCCTCAGGGAGGACACAGTCTCTGCAGAAGCACAGCAGTGGTTACCAGTCTGCCATTAAACAGATTTGGAGGAGCCTAAGGCTAGGTGGGATAGGTGACCAGACACCTGCATGGCCCAGGCAGACCCAGGACATACAGGTCAGGCTGGCAGGAGCCAGTGGTACAAATGCAGTCAACTTGGTGTAGAAGGTTAAATCCCTGAGCAAGCCAAGTCTGGAACAACACAGCTGTATCCTGCACCTTAAGGCATTCACTGAGAACAGTTCTGCCAGCCAGTATCACAGCCTAGAGCACTTAGGACCAGATGTCACCTAGCGATCTCATCACAGCACCAGAGTGTGGCCCCATGGGCAGGGACTCCAGGTTACACCAGAAGCTGCAGCCACCATGGGGGTGCCTGGAAGTGTTGACCCTTCATAGGCACAGTCCGACTCCAAAGCACAGCCCCCCAGGCAAGCGTCTTCAGAGAGAGTTTCATTAAATGTCCAGAAAAATAACAAATGGGGTGCTGTATCTGCACAGTTGGAGACAGCTCTGTCCCCCAGCACATGGCCTCGACCCTGCCCATCCTGTCATGTTCTCCTCCTAAAGTATTCTCTGTTCCTTGGAAACCCTGCTCTTGAGCTAATCAGACATGATTAGCTTCAAGGCATACATTGCTGCTGGGGCTTAATGCGATGAAGCCAAATCTGTGTGCTCTACAAACCTACCTTCTGAGGATCATTTCATAGATTATGAGTTCTGAGAACATGTGTAGTGAGAAATATTCTGGCCTGGAAGATGGAATCAGCCTCATGCTCCCCTGGAAGCCTCCCACCTCATCCCTGGACACTACTGACCTGGCTCCTTCCCCAAAAGGCTGAGAGTTTTTGTGTGGCCCTAATACTCAAACCAGGTTTGCGGCTGGAACTTCCTCTCCTCCAATGAAGCCACACAACTGAGTTGAGAAGGAGATGCACTCATCCTCAGAGTTGCAGCAGGACAGCCAGGGGTGTCCTAAGTCACATGGGGCTCCATCCACTCAGCCACACTGACATGGAAGGTGGTACTGGGTTCTGGCTAAAAGGAAGTATAAGCCCCTAAAAAGATGTATCCCTCTTCTTCTGCTTTTCTAGACACCATCTGCCCACCTGGGCACTGGTGCCCCTCTGGCAGCCTGGAGCCTCAGCCCTGCCTTCCTGGGCAGTATCAGGATGAACCTGGACAGAGTTTCTGCAAGACATGCCCTGCTGGGAAGTAAGGAACTGTGGTCAGGACCAGGACTCCTCCAGTCTACCTACTGACATGGGTTTTTCCACACTTCCTGAGGCTAGAATAGGCTCACACAGGTCCCAGGGGCCATCATAGTCAGTGTTCACTGACTACACGCTCCACAGCCCTCTGTTGCCTGTGAAGCCCAGTGCCATCGACATCCCAAAGTCAGCCAGGCATGATGGTGCTCACCTGCAATCTCAGCACTCGGGAGGCTGAGGCAGAAGGACCATCAGTATGAAGCCAACCTGAGCATAAACAGCAAGGCCTTGTCTCAAAGCAAAGAGAAACACCCCAAAACTAATGCAAGACCTTATGAGGGGGCTGTAGATTCATGCAAAATACTAAAAATACCTGGATCCCACTGAGGATTTTGCTTCTGCCCAAATCATGCAGGTCCCAGAAGCTGCCTTCACTGGGGGAGCCTCACTTTCTGGAAATAAGGATGTGAATGTTACTAATTTCTGTGAACCTGACCACCTGCTCACTGCGTCCACAGGTTCTGTCCCATGGGGACCCAGGGTCAAGGATCCAGGCTCATTAGTCCAGTGGATTGTCCTGCTGGCTACTACTGCCCTCCAGGTACTCAGAGCCCAACCCAACACCCATGTCCCAGGGGCACCTTCCGAGAGAGACCAGGGGCACTCAGTGCCAAGGACTGCAGTCCTTGTCCTGCAGGACAATTCTGTGCTGATTCAGGTGGGTGACCAGCACATCTCTCTTGGGCTTTACCACATTCCTTACAGGTCCATTTGACACAGAGTTTCCTGCCCTGCCTGCATCAGACATCATAGATTCCTTGTAGCCCCATGTAAAAGGCACTGCTTATGGCCTGGGTGGGCCTAATGGGAGGGGAGACAAAGGGAGCTCACGGTGAAGAAGGCCTGAAGAAGACAGAAGCTGCATTAGAACCCAGAGCAGGCACCTGCTAAATTCTGGCCAATGTTTTCACAAGGTGCTTCAGGTGTTCCAGGGAAGGTGATCTTGATCTCATGGTGTGGGGGAAAACTTGATATGGAGAGGTTCCTCTGGGCTTTGAGGTGGCCTAGGACATTGGTGAGTTGAAAACAGGGAAGAAGAAAGGCAACCAGATGGCATTCCCCTAAGACTGCAGTTAAGCTGGGGGCAACCTGCCTAGGAAATAGGAGGCCTCACAAAGACTGGGCCGGAGACTGGGAGGATTGGTGTAGCAGTAACCATGTTGGAGAGAGGAGAGAGTGATGTACATTGTTACTTAGTTTGTCTGTCCCATATGTACCTAAACCTCCTGGAACAAAAGACAGGTAAGTGGACGGGGAGGTGCTGCTGGAAGAGAGGTGAGACATCATTGCTCCACATTGTCCCTGGGCTCCGAGGGGCCAACAATAGCACTGAGCCCCACAGCCTGCCCTGTGCTTTAGGATCCTATGTCAGAGCTTATGTGACCAGCTATCCCTTTCAACCACAGAGGGACTGAGCAGAGCCAGCAAGGGCTGAAACGCCAAGAGGGGACAAAGCCACGTGAGAACACAGAGCCAGAAGACATGGCCAGGAAGAGTCAGGCTCTAAAACCTTGTGCCTTGAACTCTATTTCTTCTATCATCATCTGGACCCTGAGCACTATGTCCTTAGTGAATCCAGGTCTGCTGTCCTGGATAGAGTCTGTCTCCAACTCTCTCCACAGGATCTGGGAAACGCTTTCCAGATGGCCCATGCTCAGCAGGATATTACTGTCCGCCTGGCCAGACCTCAGCTACCCGCAAGTCTTTCCGGTGCCCCAGTGGCTTCTACTGTCCCGAGGGATCTCCTCAGCCAAGAGCTTGTGGGAAGGGAACCTTCCAGTCCCAGGAGACACAGGGCTCCTGTGATCCTTGCCCAGCAGGTTTCTACTGTGAAGCCTCCAGCACAGGTGGGTTCGCAGGCCACAGGGAGCTGATGGTCAGAGGCTTGGTTGTCCTATTTTTACAGGTGAATGTTATGGTCCATAGGAGGTGAGGAGGTCCCTGTACTAAACTGTGTACAAGGAGAGAACATGGGAGCTTAAACATGGATAAGATCTCTGTGCCATATACTTTTGGTCATAGGCTGGATCTGGGCATAGGGGGGACATGAATGCATTACAGGATATGATAGTCTGAACCCCAGGGCCAGGGATTTAGGTGGACAAGGTCTCATTTGGGTCTATGGTGGCTCTTGTGTGGTCCATGTGGGTGGGTGCTATATGCTCAAGGAGGGTGACTGATGCTCAGGGGCCAGTATCTCTCAAGACCAGAGGGTTTCCTGGGCCATAGACTTCCTCTCCAGATGGTGAGCCATGTGGGGCCCTCAAGCTAGCATGCTCAGAAATTAACAAAGAATCTGTCACCTGGGCTGAAGGCCTGGGCCTGGGTATGTTCAATACCAGGGGTCTCTAGTCTCTGACCTACAAAGCTCAGAGACAGGAATCCCACCTCAAGTCGGGCTGTTGGTCCCATTGCCTCCTAGACCCAGCAGCCCATGGCCCCAGCCTGTGTTTCCAGGGATACTTCTGTCCCCCTGGCTCACACTCAGCCACTGCACACCCATGTCCTCGAGGTACATTCGGGCCCAAGAGAGGGGCCACTGCAGAGCTGGATTGTGAGCCGTGCCCAGCAGGTTTGTGGACTTTGCACCTATGGGCACTCTCGGGTTCTAGAATGAAGAGAGAGGAGAGAATGAATGTAAGAGTGGGGAGCCAGGCAAGCAAGACCTCAAAGGATGTGTCTGCTCTGTACATAGCAGCCAAAGCCCAACAGTTGGGTCAAGGATGCCAAGTCAGAGCCCAGATGTGGACTGGGGCACAACAAGCCCTCTGCCCTCATCGTCCTTTGGATGACCACAGCCTCCTCAATCCCTGCACCCTGGCCCACCCTACATTCACCTGAAGGACTTAGGACAAGACCAGGTGCTGCTGAGGAGCTCCTCCTGCCCTTCATTCCCTCATCTGAGGCCCTAGGGAAGAACTAAACACTAGACATGGGTGCCAATGGGGGACTTGCCACTGGATGGAGGGTACAGGTGGAGTAGTACAGATGGAGAGGCTAGTGGAGGAAGTGCAGATAGATGGGGCTATTCAAAGGGGAGTACAGATGGACTACTTCTGTAGGAGGGCAGATGGAGCAGGAGATTCAGGCAGGCACACCCCAGAGGATCAGAGTCTCTGATGGACAGGAACAAGATGGAGCAGGGTCCCTTTGTCACCTGCCCCACGTTTCTTCTCCTTCCAGGGATGTTCTGCTCATCAGAAGGGCTACCTCAACCATCTGGGCTCTGCCACTCTGCTCACTACTGCACAGGGGGCGCCATATCTCCCACCCCCATCAAACACCAAGTAGGTAACACTGGATCCAGCAGCCCACACAGAAATGGATCGATCCACTCAGGCACATCCAGGTGTGCAAGGGTTCAGGACCACAAAGCTGGCCAGGGCTTCTTTCTCCCACAAAGGCTGTAGCTCTCTGAGGACAGATGTCTTCTTACCTTCTTGTTACCCAGGCCTGGCACAGAGGCCCACAATAGTTTAAACTCCTCAGCTGAGATAAATGTCTCCTTCACGATTAACATGCTTAAAATCAGGGATCTGACAGTCATGGTGGCAGTGCGATCATAGCTTGTGTTCCACTAGATGGCATACTGGGTTGTTCACCCATGGCAATAGGAGCAGGAAACAGAGCGTTTGCTCCTGGCTGGGCACATTCTTAACAAGTGCCAATGCACTGAGGGCTGGATGAGGCCCAGGGTGACCCTGCCTTATAGAAGAAGAAACTAGGGGCACTGGGTACGTGGCTCGCCCCAGATCACATGGCAAAAAGCAGCCGTACATGTTGGATTGTCTTTCCCTAATGAATGGTAGACAGACAGGTGTGGGTAATGTTTACTGATTTGTTACCAAGACACTGTGTGAGCTGCATATGCACAACCCTTGCCCTCTCTGGGCCAGGACTTCCTCTTGAACAGAGAGGTCATTCCATCTGGAAATTCTATATTAATACCACAGAGAGAGGAAGGGCAGGGGGCCAGAGAGGGAAGAAGAGAGGGATGGAGGTAGCCAAGTGGATCCCAGGATTCAAGAAGTCAGAGCCTCATTGGCTCAGAAAATCAGGTTTCAGAGACAATCCCATGTGGGATCTCAAAGGCAGTACATCCGTCTTCAGCTGAATGTGGTCCTTGCTCTCCCTTTGAGCCATGGAGTATGCAGCTGAAACCTCAGCTCAAGGGAACATCCTCTCTTCCTTCCCTCCCACTACACAGGTGGAGGTGCCTGGACTTTCTGGGAATGATATCTGCCCCCCTGGCTTCTTCTGTCCCAGAGGAACAGGATTTCCACTTCCATGCCCCCCTGGGTTCTACTCCTCTACACCTGGCCTGGACAGCAAGGACCAGTGCCAGCCATGCCCTGTGGGGCACTACTGTAGCCATCCTGGGCTGTCCAGCATCCTAGAGGCCAGGCTCTGCCATGCAGGGTGAGGAAAGCCTGGTGAGGTGGGGGTGATCCTGAGTTCCAGTCTGAAGCTAATAGGAACCCCAACTTATGACTAATCCCCAGTTCCTCCCAGTCCCACTGAGGGGCACAGGCCAAGGTGGATGACTCCTGAGTATGTGGACTGAACATCCCACCCCTTAGATTTGGGCCTGAATACCGAGCTTCAGCAGCTGGAGATGTTCCCTAGGTCCCAGGGCAAACCCTGCAGGCCTGGGTCTTTCCCTCTTGGTCACCAGTCTGCTCACAGGCCTGAGATGCTTGAAGTGAATTTGCCCCTCTTTGCTCAAGGGGCTGGAGTGCTAAAGCCAAGGCTTGAGTGGAGCAAGATCTGCCATCTGTTCTGTGGCACAAGGACAAGGGTGTTTGCAGAAGCATGCTTCTCTGGAGGAGGGTATTGCCCCTTCCAGGACTGTCCCTGAGCTCACTTCTGACTTTCTATCCTCAGGGCTAGAGTACGTTTTATGTTGAAGGCTCTGGGGAACTCCTGCCATACGTGTACCCTCCTTGGTTGCAGGGATACCCAACTAAGCCATCAGCCCTTAGTGTGGCCCCACCTGCTTGGTCCCAGAACAAATCTAAGGCCTGGGGCTCTCAAGGCTGGCTGGGCACCCTGCAAACTAGAGAAGGTGCAGCCTGGGATTCTGTTTCCTCAGGTACATCTGCCTGGGAGGCAGCACTGTTCCCTCACCCTCTAATGGGACCTATGGATACAGATGTCCTCCTGGTTTCCAATGTCCTCCAGGGGCCCACCATGAGCTACCCTGCAAGCCCGGTACCTTCAGTTCATTGCCTGGTTCTGGTTCCTGCCTGGCCTGCCCACAAGGCACTTATTGTCCCTGGGCTGCCACTGTACAGCCCACTACCTGCCCCAAAGGTAACCTTGGGGCTCCACTTCTCTTGAGCAAAGACACTTGGGCACCTGAGGGACACCCCTCCCCAGTTCTACTGTCTCTGAACCCCAGGGCTGGTACTGAATGAGACCAAAGCCTCCTGCACCTCATGACACACTCATAATACAGGGCTCATGGTGCCACAGAGGGAGGACATAAGGTGAATGTCATGGAGGGAGCTCACCCCAGGGCCAGAGCACCCCTCTGCTGTGAGACTGTGACAGCATAACCTGTCCTGGACACAGGGAAGAAAGAAAACTCAGATTTCCTGTGTTCCACTGTCCTTCTCACTGCAGACCCCCTTCCCATGGGCTCTAGGGAGTGAGTAGGTAGGAGGACTGCAGAGAAGAGGGTAGGCCAGTCCCAAGGCATCTACACAGTGGACCCAGGCACCCTTGGAAGACCCCAGAGGCACTCTCAGTCTGCAAGAGATCTAGTTTGAGATACTCAGTGCTCTCATGGGTAACTGGGCATGAGGCTACCTGTGGGGATGGTCACAAGCTCCAGGCAAATCCTGGGGTGATAGTATCTCCAGCACCAGAAATTCTTCCTTCTCCCTCTGCAGAGCTAGACCCACCTGCACTGGTACACCTTCCCTAAGCACAACCCTAGCCTGAACTAGCAGCCTGCATGTGCATACACACATTCATGCATACTCACACATGCAGGCACACACATTCGCAGTTGATCTCACACACTCATGTTCACTCACTCACTTTTACTCACACCTCCCTGCCCTGATATTCAGGCCTTCACCTGAGCACCATCCCACAGGCTTGGGTGCAGGGCCAGTGTCCCTTCACAGCCTCTGGCTGTGACTTCTGCTCCTCAGGACTGTCCTTACTACCACACAGATGGAAGCCTGGGATGGGGGGATGAGGCCATGGGGCTTGGACAATCCGCTCTCATCCTGCTTTGCCCACAGGTCACTACTGCCCAGCAGGGACATCCTCCCCTCACCCCTGCCCAGAGGGAACTCTGAGCCCAAGGGAAGGTGCTCCTTCCTCCAGGGCCTGCCTGCCCTGTCCTGCAGGGAGTTATTGCCCTGGAGAGGGCAACGGGCAGCCTGAGGGTAAGTACCAACATGCCAGCAGATTAGCCAGGGGACAGTGCTGCTGCAAGTCCTCCCCAGAGTGGACAGAACAGCCAGAAGGAGAAAATGCCCCTGAGCTCAGAGCAGGCTTCCAGAAATACAGCACCCAGAGCTGAGACAGTCCCTTCCCCATGCTTTCTGGGTCCCTAATATCCACCCCTCACCTCACCACCTCCTCCTACTACTTCCTGTTCCTCTTTTCTAATGCCAAAAGCACTCTCTGGAGCCACAGTCAGTCTCTCCCAGCTCTGTAGCTGGCACATGTGTGATGCTGCACAGGCCCCCTGGTTTTCCACTCGTCCTGGTTTTCCCCCTGGGAAGTAGGAGAGAGGGAGACCACCCACACCTGCCATGGAGAGATGCAGCCTGTTTGGTGCTGCTAGTGCTTTCTGCTGTCCTCATGCCACTGGCGTCCTCCCCAGCAATGACAAAAGAGCCCACGTGGAAGCCACTACCCCAGACCAAGATAGCACCGCTACTCAGTGATATGTTATGTCCTGGCCTTTCTCTTCTCACTGCAACCTCTGTTGTGCGCCAAGGTTAGGAAGGAAACAGATGGTAGGGACCAGGTGGGGTCACATAGGGACCTTCCTTAGTGCAGGCAAGGTTGATTTCTTAGTGCACTAAAATGCTAAATCTTCTCACCAAGGACCCTGCTCAGCTGGTTACTACTGCAAGGGCGGTGCAGCTAGCCCCACACCCTGGGGAAATGGTGCCTTCACCCTCAATGGGCCCTGCCCCCAAAGCCACTACTGCCCACAGGGCACTCTGTACCCTGTGCCCTGCCCTCCGGGGACAACAAGAAACAGTCCTGGTGAGCATCTGTCTTATGCCAACCTCCCCCCAAGGGACCCCAAGCGGCCTCTTCCACGTGGGGTTCAGAGTTGTGCTTCACTCTGGCCCAGTGGACAACAACACCATGAAGATTACCTGCTGGCTGGAATGTCACGGTGGGGGGGGGGGCGCACCACACCCAGATATGGCTGAGGCTTTCCATGACGAACACTTAAGGACAAACACTCCTGCACCCCACGAGCTACACACTCGCAATACGGGCAGTGCCACTAGCGCCCCAAAGCAGAAGTGCCCTGGGGATGGGGGAGCCAGGCTCTGCTCTAGCTGCCAGGTGTGGCTGAGCCCCACAGGGAAAAGCCTCATCTTTTGGGGTGGTGATCCGGGTGACCTTCCCTGTACAGGAGGCACCTCTGAGAGGAGCTGTGGGCTCTGTCCTGCCGGCTTCTTCTGCCCCGGCCTGGGCCTCAGCTCAGCCACCAGATCCTGCATGACTGACTCCGACTGGCCCTTGGAGCCCACAGTTCTCCCCTGCCCTCAGGTACTTCCTTAGGGATTGCAGGAGGGAGCTTAGTATCCCAGGCCTGGGAGGTAGGAGAAGCAGCCTGGATTGAGGCTGGAGGTTGGCCCTCAGACTGGGGGCATCAGTATGACTCTCAGCGCATCAAGGGAGGGATCCCCAACTCTCCCAATCTCCCAGGCCCCTGTCCCTTACTCAAATGTGCCCTGCTTTCCACCCCTACATTTTAGTCACTGTGGCCTGAACCAGCCCTAGGAAGAACTGCGCTGACCCCAGAGCTGCTGAGCTCCCAGCCACACCTGGCCTGGGCCTCAAGAGTGCCCCTTGTGTCCACTGTTCAGGGTCACTTCTGCCAACTCAGGGCTGCATGGCCTACCCCTTGCCACCGCGGATACTACCAGCCCTCCTTGGGCTCAGACACCTGCCTCCTGTGTCCAGCAGGCTCTTACTGTCCACATCCTGGCAGCAGGGTGCCTAGGCCCTGCCCAACCCACACATACTGCCCAGCTGGTAAGTGCACAAGCCCTCAGCTCCCCATCTTTCCCATGCTGTTTTCTTTCTCCCATGCTCCATCTGTGTTAATTATTGTTTATTTATTCATTCAAACCCAAGTCCCATTTTCCTGTACCAGGCACTGTGCTCACAGTAGGTACCATGTGAGTAGGCTCCTGCCCAGCCTCCTCCCTCTGCCCAGGGCTCCCTCTGCCCACCTCTCCATCACTGTCCTTTTCCTCATCTGCTGCCACCCTGTGCTCCTTGCCTGCATCCTTCCTGAGAGCTACAGGGGCCCTAGACCACAGATGTCAGACCATCCCAGCACCCGTTGAGGTCCACAGGGAGATAACACCTACATGCTACACAGGAAGGCTCTGGATGCTGAGATGATGACCTAACAGCTTCCACAATGGTGCCCCATGTGCCTGCATTGGCTCTGTCCAAATTTGCATCCTGCTGTGCTGAACATACTGTATATGGGCCACATACAGACACACGCACACATGGATATTTGCACACCTATGCTCACACATGCATAAATACACACACACACACACACACACAGTCTAGCAAACAAATACATATCCACACATTCAACATCCTTCTCATGTCCTGGGTAAACTGGCAGAAATCTTCCTAGTAGTTCTTGAATGTGTTTCTTTTGTAAGTGTGTGACCCTAGATGAAACATGTATTTGTTCTTCATGACCAAAGTGTTCAAGGCACATGAGCCCCTTTTATGTGGTGGAGCTTTAACCCAGAATGTTAGAATACCTAAAGGTCAAAGATGACCCGTGCTCCCTGAGATTGCTTGTTGTGCAGGCCCCATATTGGCTGATGGTTAGAAGAGGGGACATCCCAATACAAGGAACAAAGATAACAATTAGGGGCCATGCTCTGAGAACTGGGACCATGGCTATCACCAGGGCAGGTTGGGCTGTGGACAGAGAACTGGCCATCCAACCAGCATCACTCACCCACCCCAGTAGAGAAGGAAAAGAGGCAGGCTGTGGCTCCCAAGTGAGATTGGCTTTGGTGTGGACCAACAAGATTCAAACTCCATTGCACAGAACTGTAGAGTATAAATGGGACACTGGATACCTCACCCAGGTCCTTGGCTGGATGCGTGGCCTCCTCACCTCACTGCTATTTGAAGACCCTCCACTGTGGTTACCCTTTGTTACAAGCACTGACCTTGTCCTCTCTTCACAGAACAGTCATCCTCTGGGCCACCAGTCACAGGTCTGAGGAAACAGCATGAAAAACCCATTACCATCAGGAGTAGGGGCTGCATGTCTCTGAGCTGAAATGGCCTCAGCCCCTTAGGGTGCCTCTTTACTCCCTCCTTCTACTCCTCTTCCAGGAACCTGGTCCCCTGTTCTGTGTCCCCCAGGGACCTTCACTCCCCAGAATGTATCAGGCCTCCAGAAAGAGGGCGACTGTTCCACCTGTCCCCCTGGTCACTACTGCAGGTCAGTCACTACCTCTGCTCTGTCAAACCATGATACCCAGCCTGCCACCTATCCTGTCCAGAGGCTATGCAGAGTGAGTGGGGAGCAGATCTGCATCTCAGAGGTCTCTCAGAATGGCCCTGCCCTGCAGCAAACCAGGCAAAACATAAGCACATTGGTATGGATGCAAGGCAGGCCTCCAGCATTTGGGGAAAGCAAGCATCGCAGTACTAAGACCCACTATGGTCATCAACAGAAGAGCTGTCCCATTTTATGCAACAGTGAACGTACATCAGAGCAAATCATTTTCCACTTAAAAGGTGGCAACAGAGGTTCCTCAGGCTCCTTCCTGAAGTTCAGCTCCCTCTGCTTGGAAAATTCATCCAGAGGTCTAGCCTACTTTCTCCTGCTGCTGAAGTAGAGATCTGACTCATGGCTGCCTCAGAGCCTCAGACACTCAGTAGACCCCAAGCGTCCCACACAGTACAGGAAACAGGCAGAACACCTGCAGTCCCCTGCCATCCCCATTCCCATGGAAACTGCAGCAAAGTCACCAAATGCTCTGAGAGGGTTCATCTTCCTAGTGGCATCTTGAGTCTTGCTCCTTCAGCACTGTACTTCACAACTCAGTGGAGAAAAGACACGCAGAAGTCCGCAGCTTGCTGGTGATGTGCAGAGGGCACCGCCTACCTGATCTGGCCCCAGTCTCAGCCTCCACTGTTTTCTGCTGTGTCACAGTCTGTCCGTCACTCTGGGCACATTCATGTGACCCCAGGGGAGAGTAAAAGTGCTTTACACTATGAACCACAGAAAAAACTTTCAGCCAAGGGGTGGTTCCCTCCAGTGTAGGCCCAGATCAGACCCTCCATCTCAGACTCCTCCTTCTCCCCTCTTCTTGACAATTAGGGTTGGACAGGTGTGGGGGAAGTGTCCTGCTGGTTACTTCTGCCCTCCTGGTACCTCTGAAGTGATGGCACCAGGCTCCAGGAAGTCCCAGACCCTATGCCCCCAAGGACAGCTATGCATGGAGCAATGCCCACCAGGTAACAGTTTTGCTTGCCACCTAACATTTGTGTGCATGCACATGTATGTAACAGGCACATGCATCCCAGGTAATGCACACAGTGACCAATGTGACAAATACACACAGTCAGTGGGGCCAGGACTGACATTCAGATCTCTTAATCATGGACAATAAGATCACCCAGGGTCCCCTGTCCACAAATCCCCAGAGCCCTGGCACCATCCTGCATCGTGACTCTCTCGTTCTTTAGGGTTTTACTGCCCAGAGGGCAGCGGAGAGCCTATCTTGTGTCCCCCTTACACCCTGACGGCTACCCCAGGAGCCCAGCAGAAAGAGGACTGTGGGCCTTGCCCACCTGGGCACTGGTGCAGAGCAGGTGAGACCATGGGGTAAGAGGCCTTGAACCACAGCCTGGAAGGTGTTGGTTCCTGCACAGAACCCAAGAGGCTCTGTGTGGGGAAGAAGGTGAGTGTAGCCCTCACTCTGCAGGAGCACAGACTGCACAGCCCTGCCCCGCTGGCCACTACTGCCCCGGAGAGAATGAAACCCACCCAGGAGCTCCCCAGGCTTGCCCTAAGCACACCTACCTGGCAGAAGAAGGAGGCCAGAGCCTGGCAGAGTGCCTTCCTTGCCCCTCTGGGTACCACTGTCCATGGCCAGGTGAGAGCCCCTATGGAGGCTGGATGAGGACACCAGGGGAAGAACAGGGAGAGGCCTCGAGGGGACTCCAGGGAGACTCCTGCTTTGCCTGGTGCTTTTGCCCCCAGGTCTCTCTTCCTTCAAAGACCACCCATGTCCTCCTGGCCACTGGTGTCCTGGCACACATGGTGCCCTCCCCTGTCCTCCTGGCACCTTTCAAACAGAACCAGGAGCATCTGCACCAGAAGACTGCGAGCTCTGCCCCCCTGGCTACTACTGCCCTGACAGTGAGCTGAGGGGCCAGGCCAACGTGTTCCCCATTCCCTGTCAGGCTGGGTTCGAGTGCCCAGCAGGTGAGCTGGAGGGATCTCCCATCCCCATACTGTAGGTCATGCCTCTTCCATCACCCACCTGTTGTTTCCTCATCTCAGGCCAGAGGCTCTCAGGGCTCCCTAGTGAGCCCGGGTCGCAGGTATGCACAGCTGTCTATTCGCCCTAGTGCTGCCTCCCAGACCTCAAGCATCACAGTCAGTCTCTGATTGGAATCTGTGCTACCTGCATCTCCCTAAACCCAACATGTCTTCCAGCCCCGCCCCCCTCTCGCCTAAGTCTGCCTCATAGAAACAGCAAGTTCAGTGAATGTTCTCCAGCTCAAGGCACAAGGGAACCCTGCTATTGTGTGGAGCAGGAGGTGTAGAGGTGGGCTGTGCCCTGGGCTTTTCGACCATCTCACCCACCATCCTCAGGGAAGGGGACGAGAAGAGCTGGGACATGCAGCTCTGACTGGGGCTGGCAGAAGCCATCCGAGGGCTCCCTAGGTGGCCTTGCCTGTATTCCCTCTTCCATACCAACCCCACCCACGCAAGGTGTGCCCCCAAGCAGCTCCAAAACCCACTGCAGGAACTTCATGCCCTTCAATCTCCTCTGCTCCTGGATCCTAATCTTTACCACGCTCAGTCTCCCCCTTACCACACGATGATCTCTCACCCTGAGCCCCCTCCGCCTTTCCTTGTCCTCACACTGCCCCCACCACTTCGGTGCCTCCACTTGGCCCCACATGGGGAGGCCCCTGTTCTCACAGCCCAGGGCTTGCCCAGGCTTCCACCAGCTGCTGAAAGAATTTGGGGTGTTCCCAACTCATGCCCATGGCTGGTGGGCTCCTCTGAATCCTGGCCCCTTCTCCCTCAGGTGCTGTGACTGAGGTTCCCTGCAGGGCTGGCTCCTATTGTGGACCCCAGACTGGGGTCCCCCCACTCTGCCCAGAAGGGTTTGCCTGCCCTGCTGGCTCCTCCTCCTACCCCGACCCAGGGCAACGGTAAGTCTCTCCCCACCCATGTGTGGGTATACCTTCCTCTATCATGTGATGCTAAGCCTCCCACCCCAGGGAGACTCTACTCCATCCCCAAAAGTCTAAGCTGCCCTTAAGAGTATAAGTGTAAGCCCCTGCCCCATGCATTTCAGAAGCCGGCCCCCTTTTATTTTCTCAGTGATTCCAACGAACTGGCAAAGCCCATAGACCAGTCCTTGGTGACCCTTACCTAGGGTTAGAAGCTAGGCCCTGGGCCTCCCTCTGCCCCAGGAAACAGAGTATGAGGAGGTCAATTGCACTGAGACTCCTTGGTCAGCCCCCAATACCATTCTGTGTGGAGTAACTGCATTTAGCAAATAAAAATACTGGGTACCCAGCAGCATTTAAATTTTCAGTTCAACAACAATAAATTTTTACAAATAATGACTCCTGCCATATCTGAGACCCACTTACCCTTAAAAAAGGCTCATAGTTGATTTAACATTCAAATGACAAGCATTGAGATCAGACCTGCTCAGCCTGACTGTGTCCAGGACCCAAATTCCAACAGTCAAGTCTGCCCCATGTACTCTTCTGCCCATGACCTGATATTGTTCAGTCGCCTGAGCCCAGCTCAGTCTCCTCCAGGAGAGTAGCTCCAAATGGCAAGGGACAGTAGACATGGGCCACCCAAACCCCATCTGGGATGATATCAGTCTGCCTTCCCCACCGGTCTATACCCCAAGCTAAGGATGTAGGGAACTGTGGAGAGAGGAGATGCCACAGCCCTTAGTCACCAGCATGACCTGGGCCTGGCCTGTTCTCTGTGCAGTTGTCTGTTTCCCTATTACTGCCCCTTGGGCAGTGCCCATCCTCGTACGTGCCCTGGGGGCTCTGAGGCCCTGAACAGGAGTGGCCTCAGGGTCTCTGCTGAGACTTGCTGCCAACAGTGTGCAGCTGGCACCTACCATAGCCAGGCACTGGATGCACTACCCTGCCAACCCTGTCCTGCTGGATTCAGCTGCCGCCAGGGTGAGTGCCCAGGGGTGGGAGGGGGTCCTGCCAGAAAGTGAGGGGTAGCCCTGGGGCAGCAGAGGACTTGCCTGCTGCTTTCTCTCTCAGCCAGGCCAACTCCCAACACAGTCCTCAAAGCTTGGGGAGGGGTGGACATAAAAGAGGCCACCGAGCAATTGGCTCCACATCTACCTCCAGATTAGGTTCATGAGACTATAAATCACAGTGCGCGAAGCCTCAGGCACATGAGTGTGTGGGGACTGAGGGCCCAGGTACTTGGTAAATGGGACAGCTACTGCCCTATGTACCCATGCAGGCAGTGCCCTGTCCTGCCTGACTGAAAGGGAAATGGAAATGTACTGTGCTGCTGGAAGACAGGGGACAGCAGGGTCTGGAAGACACTGTCCCATCTGCTGCATGCCTGCCCCACCCCGTGATAGCAAACGCATTGTCCAGACTCCCCACCCCTTCTCAGTCCTGCCAGAGTTCACACTCCGATTAACCTCTCCTTTCTCTGCAGGCTCAGAGAATTACCACAGCTGGCCCTGCCCAGTGGGCCACTACTGTCCTTCGGGGATTCCCAGCCCTAAACCCTGCCCAGCAGGGACCTATAGAGGCAGCAGCCAGGCCAGGGAAGCTGGAGACTGCTCGCCATGCCCTGAGGGCACCTACAGTGCACTGCCTGGCCAGGCAGGCTGCCTTCCTTGCGGAAGCTCAGCTTTCTCCCCACCAGGTGATCCCAGGACTGGGTCTCCCCGATGTGACGGTTGTTCTCCTTTATCTTCTGCAATCTGAGGGCCCCCAGAGCCAGGGTGTGTCGGAAGAGTGGATGTGTGAGAGGATGTGTGTCTGAGCATGTGCCTGTTCCGAGGACTCCAACAAGCACATATGTGGATGACCGTTAGCCAGGTCACTGTCAGGTTCCTGTGGGTGAGAGGACTTCTCTAACTGTAGGTAGCTCCTCTTGTACATGCTGGGGCACGAACAGGGTCTTCCAGAAGTCAGATGGTTCCTGTATCTGCCAGACAGGACATGTGTCCTACAATCACAGGGGACTGGAAAGTGGCCAAGATAGTGACAGCAAGCAGGATTGCCAACCCCAGGTGAGTCTCTGAAGCCTCAGGACAGGCAGGCACACAGGAGGGAGAGTGAGTGCCAGGAACCTCACACCTATACTTTCTCCACCCTTCCTGTGCATCTGAAAAACACACATCAACCCAGTCATGGCTTTGTTCAGCCTAAACTCTGTTGAGAGCCCTCAGTATAGACAAGGTGCCGTCCCTTCCCAATAGTTTGGGCCTGAGTCCTCTCTGTCATTAACTGGCTCTGCCTCTACCATCCTTGTTAAGGACAGGGAACCTGTGTGCCCCTGGGTTCCCTCTCTCCCTCCTCTCCTGCAGCCAACACCCAAGTCTGGTGTCTTCTCATTCCCTGACATCCTCCTAAATTAACTCTTTCCCCTCCAGAGAAGCCAGATGGCCCTCAGAGCCAGGACCAGGATGCCCTCAGCTGCCCTCCAAACTCTCCCATACTTCCTTTCTGCCCCGTGAGCTGACTGGGGGTCCTGGCCTGCCTCCTGCCTCTGCAAGCCTGAAGAGGGGAAGGGGTCAGAGGCAGGCTTTATGTTGTAGTCAGCCTTCAGGCAAAGGGTGCCTTCTTTCACAGAGACCCCTAGACTCCTTTCTGCTCTCAATAGATGACTCCCTTGTCCCCCTCACCACGCTGGCCCAGGGCAGAAGCAGGCAAAGCTCAAGTTCCTCATACAACCACATGTGGGTATGCTCGGGACCAGCCACAAATATACCAACTTCTCATGTTCATTTTCCCTCTCATTGGTTTTACATTTGAATCTTAATACATCATTTCTATACAGTACAATATAAGTTATATTTTTGCAATAATTTTTTACTCCTGATGGAGGCACAAGCTGATTTGGAAACCATGGGCCTCAACAGCAGGGCCCTCTGGATGTGTCTTCCTGGATGTCGTCCCCAGGGAAGATGGCCATAGCTCTCTAGTTCCTCCCTCCTGGTCTACACTGTCAGGAGGCCACACAGGATAATGCAGGAATGGCTTCAGTGAATAATGCTTCTTCCTGCAGACCTATCAGTCCAGCCATGGAGCTGGTTCACTCTGATCATCTGAACTGTGGCCCAACTTCTGAGTGTCCCTCTCAGTGTGATGGCACAGCTAGTGTCTCCACCAGCTCCACCAGGAAGCCTTCCCCAATTACACCCCAGCTAGAGCCCTAGTCATCTCCCAAGGTAGCCACTTTCTGGTCTAGTCCTAAGCCTGCTCTTAGCACAGTGACTAAATGAGAGCCCTGAGTCCCTGAAATGTTCTCTGATGCCAAGAGCCACGCCCCCCAACCTCCAGGGAGACAGAGCCAAGGCCTCCTGCTAACTCCACAGGTCTCCCAGCGCTGCCCACCTGGAGACATCCGCCTGGCTGCCACCCACAAGTGTGTGTCTCCCCAGATGCATGACTGTGATTCCTTCTGCCGACCAGGTAGTGGGGAGCTCAGCGCTGACCTGGGCATGTAAGTAAGGATGGCTGCCCAGAGCAGCAGAACCTTTGCACGCAGGTTCTTCCCACTCCCAAAGTTCCCACCTAGAGTTGAGATGGCCCCAGCTCTGCTGGGACACTAAGCTGGTGGGAGCCCCTCTAGAAGCGATCCTGAGTCAACACTCCCGAGGAGGCCTGGCCTGGCTGACACCAGCCCTGGCAGCAGCCAGAGAGGAGCTTGTTCCAGGGAGGGTAGGGTCTATGCTCCAGGCCATGTGATAAATGCAGGCACCGACCCTGAGCACGTGCTACCCTGAAACCTCCTCTATGCCTTGAGCACGGATCCTCCTTCTGACCCGTTGACTGAGCCAGAAAGGGATATCCTCTGGACCTTCTGGAGCCTTCTAGACTGTACAGGTCTCCCTGGCTTCCCTCAGCAGGATAAACAAATAGGGAATTCTGAGTACACCCTGGTCCATGCTAGTTGTGGTACTAGCTCCTGCAGCCTGGCATAACAAAAGCCATCACCAGTGCAATGGCCCTTTAGGAGGCAGATAGCTTGCCTTCCTTGGAGAGAGGGCTGAGGGGCCCTCTCTATCCTTCCTAAGAGGCCTTTGCAGGTTGAGCTGCATCTGGGGTGAGGGCAACATCCCCATGCTGCTGAAACAGCTTTTCATACTTTCTCTCCTCTGTAGCTGCCAGTGCCGGGCGTATGTCTCAGCTGAAGAGCTCTGTGACACCCAGTGTCTAGCTACAGCCCCTCAGCTTTCCTTGGCCTGGAGCTCCAGCAAGAAGTTAATACTCAGCATTAAGAAGAAGGCAGGGAATATCATCCAGAGGGTGAGCCTCTCTCAGGGAAGGCAGGCATGGGAAAGCAACCTCTGACCTCTTGGGACAGGGGAGATGAAGCCACCCAGCCCCTGAAGCTGCAGAGAAATAGGCACCAAGCATAAAGAAGCCAGACAGTGGAAGGGAAGGCCCACGCTAACAGTCTCCTAGCCTGGCTTACTGTCTGTGGGCATTTCTGTTCACGTCAATGCCTAGCATCCAACCCAAACACCAGAAGTAACCACAGAAAACATGAGTATCACTTTACAACAGGGGAAATGAGGCCCAGAGACCATTCAGCATGGACATCTGAATGATGTCAGCCCTCCAAGCTCAGCCTCTGGCCACAGGGCTGGACTGTCCTGTGGGCTCAGTGATGATGGCTACTGCTGGCTCCAGGCTCCAGTGCTTCCTCTGGGTGGGGGCTGTGGGAAGCAGGACCTGGTCCTGATGGGGCTGGCCCTGTTTAGGGTCTTGCCTGCCTGCTGCCATTGATGAATGAGGGCATGGGAAGAGTCCTGATGCTTTCTGAAGAGAAGCAGGGACCAGGGTTCCAGAGGCCGCTGCACAAGTGCCAATGAGAAGCTGACTCGAGGGAGATGAAGGCCATGACACTAAGCCCTAAACACTCCAGAGGCCAGTTGGAGCTCTTTTCCCTTGTTGTCCCCATGCTGCCTGGCACTAAATGCTGCATCTTCTCAGGAGGTCTCTAGTACTCTGGGCCCTGACCAGCCCTTCCCAGGGAGTGCCAGAGTCTACTTGATCGAGTTTGGCCCCCACGGAATCTTTGGCTTCATCATCTCCAGTGTGGACATGGTTGGCTCCTTCCTCCAAGGTGAGCTGAGGAGGAGGTACCCAGCTGAGCCTTCTCAAAGAGGTTGAGGGAGCAAGGCATGGTTACGTTCTTCCAGGGAGGGCAAGGCCCTTTAAGCCCTGTTCATGGCCTCATGCAAACCTTTCAGTATGTCTACAGTATTGGGAAGCAAAAGTGTGGCAGAGATCCCAGAAGGCCCCAGAGGAGAGATGTTTGCATGGAGGGGTCAGGCTGGGTCTGTTCTTCTAGGAGGGTGAGGTAGGTGGGGTTGACAGGTGAACCCATACCTCCCAGGTCTTCAGCATGCCTTCCCCAAACATTCCCAGGAACCCCTGCACCCAGTACCCAGCCTCAGAGACTCTATCCAACCACAGGCCCAAGGCACCCCTACATTAGTCCCCACATTCCAAACCCAGTGGTCTGCCTGGCAGCAGGGGATGTGATCCTCTTCCAGCTCCATATTCTCCCCCACAGTGAGTGTTGCCTTCGAGTGGAGACTTGCATGACTTCCTAGCCCTGCCCTCTCTCCTCCTCTGCCTGTGATCCCATATAGAGACCATGTTTTTGCAGGAGGAAATCAGGCCATGCTGTGCTCGCTTTCAGCTCAATTGTTGATTTTCCCCTGGGCCTGTTGCTTTACCTATAGATGCAAGTAAAGGAGCAGATGCCCCAGCTCCATCATTCTGAGTTCCCTGCAGTCCAGGGACCTGGAAGATTTCCATGCACTGGGGATAAAGGGAACTCACCAAGGGAGGCCCCAGGCCACCCGCAGACTGTCTTCAGTCTGTGCCACACTGTCATTCTGCAGGGCCTATAACCCTACAGAGCTACTCCTAAAGCTCTGCAGTTCCTCCCACTGGGCCATGTGTGTTAATAAGGGATGTCATTTTGGAGATAAGCTAAAGCATATCATTTCCCTGGGACACCCACCCCTAGGAGCCCCACAGAGCAGGCCTAATTCCTCCTGCAAACAGTCCTCTGCAATGGAAGAGGGTGCTCGGCTTCCTTCTGGCACTGACCCTTTCCACCTACCCTCCCATCCTTACTCTAGTCACTGATCGTTACTTTGGGGTCCTCAGTGGGAGCAGCAGGCATCCCTAGCCCTACCTCCCAGCTGCTCCCACACAACACTGTGGCTTTGTCCCACCCAAAGCCACTGGGTTGGCTCCAAGGGGTCTACAGACCTAAAGCTATGAAAGAGATGGAGTAGGAGAATCAGGGGTGTGGGCTTACATAGCTCAAAGAAGAAAGTGAGCTTCATGTTGGATTCTGTGCTTTGGCCTTTCCTATCTCACTGGGACCTGAGCAACCCCACCCTCCCAGAGCCTTGAAATTGTATCTACATCATGAGCTCAGTCCCACTCCCCTCCTCCACACTGGGGGCCCCCTCTTGGGCAAAGACACCTGTGCTTCTGTCCACCCCCGAGTGGTCTAGTCCATCCCTTAGCTGCTCCACAGCATGCTTTAAATCACAGCTCTGCACCCGCTCCTGCTGCATCATGGTGAGCCTCTCATGTATACTGTGCCAGCCCATCAGCTGTTCTCACAGAAGGCTCCTGAGGCCTGGTGGCCCTGCTCAGGAGCATGCAGTTATGTGGGGCCCTCTGCAGGCAGAGAGGAGAAGTTGCCCTGGTGCCAAGACTGCTACCTCCATCCCATGCATGATATTTCATTGCAAAGAAGTCTCATTTCCAATCTCATAAGGCCTGGGCACTGAGCTCTTGGATCTGGTCTGCCCAGTGTTGGGGCTGGGGGGGCCACTGAACCCCAGCCCAGCCCTGCTTGTATTCCTCAGACCGTTCAGCTAGTCACTACCCTGTGTACCAGAGGCAGCATCTGCTCAATAGCAACCCCCACTGGGACTTTGGAGCCTTCAGAAGACTCTGCCACCTGGTACAAGAGACACAGTTCAACCTCTCAAGGTAACAGCAGCATTATCTGGGAGCTGGGGACTGGGGCATGTGTTGCTGACCCTCCAAGTCACAGCCTCTTTCTAGATGGGCAACTAGGAGGACTGGGAGTGTGCATCCCAAGAGAATCTTGGTAGCTGGCTGGCCTCTGGTGCCCAGCTGGGTGGGGACTCCCATCGGTCTAGGCATCATCTTCAGCTTAAATGGACCGGACTGTTTCTGTGGGGACAGAGGCCTGGCATGGCCTGAAGACACCCAGCCCAGCAAGGCAGTCCCCCACATTCTGGCTCCTTTACTCCCTCAGGTTTGCCCACCGGTTCCTAGATCCAGGCACATATGTATTTCGTGACAATGGGCAGTCTGAGAGCATTGCTGTGGTGCATGTGCAGGAAGAGGGGGCAGTCTGCAGCCCTGGTCTGGCCCCCATTCAACCCTCCTCCCCATATCAACTTGGCAGGCTTGGCATCCTCCGGCGAGAGCTGCTTCTGGCCCCAGATTGGGCAGCAATCACCGGTATTAACCTGGATAGGGCAGCCAGGACTGAGGGTCTGGAGGGCCTCTGTGTAGCAGTGCCACAGGTATGAGTCAGCCCTTCTGAAGTCTGGGCATAGCCCCAAGGAAGACAGTTAAGTACAATGACATAAGCATGGTGGAACACATCCTTGAACAGGTCATCATTTGCAGGGAAAGAAACCTGGATTGCTTCCATTTGGCGTGGCTTATCTTCCCTCCCCACCCTTTGGCCGATAGTCAGCCATCTGCATTGAGGCAGAGTCCTGAGATAAGGAGAAACTCAGCCCTGCCCAGCAGTAGAGAGGATGCTACCCTGCCATGTCTGAGGCTTCAAGGAAGGACTTATGTAGGCTTGGTAGCACAACTCACCCATGCTCATACACACCCACTGTCACAGTTACACACTCGTGGCAGGAGGGGCTGTGGGTGAGGGAAGAGCTTCCCAGTGAGAGACCAAATTATTGCAAAAGGGAACTCTGAGGAGTTAGAGCTCAAGAGAGCAGAAGGAGGCCAGAGCCTCAGAAGCAAATGCAAAATTCCCCTCTCCAGGATCCCAGGAAGGCTGGGGAGGTTCTAGGAGCCCATAGTGAGCCCCATCCCTTCTCATTGCCCACCTTTTCAGGGATTCTTCTGGCTGCTGGTTTGGCTACCACACTGCTGACAGGCCTGGGCCTCCTACTGAGACCCTGCCTGCCCCAGGTATGCCCCATGCGAGTCTGGAGGCCTCAGTGGAGAAGTCTGAGGTGGCCTCACTTGCTGACTGAGCATGCACACCTGGAGGACAGGTGAGTCTCACCCCATACACCTGTTTCAGCCCCACCCCGCCTGCTGCAGCACCCTCTTCTGAGCCAGGCACTGCTGAGCTCTACTTTGGCCCAGTGGGCTCTGGACTGAGCACTTTCCAAAGCTGCCCTGTGAGATGACTCCACACAGAATCCTGCACATTGGCATGTGTCTGGATGTCAAAGCTGGCTCTTCCTTCCAGCTTTCTCTTCTGTGAAGACCTTGGTCATCGGGGCTCTGGGGAAGGAACTGAACCCAGGAAGAAGGCCATGACCTGGGGTACAGGTACTATGCTGGGCTGCAGCCAATCCCTTTCTCTCTGCCCAAACTTCCTCCATACCCACACCAAGCACACACTCTGGGACACTATCTGGATCCAAAACCTTAGGTGCCCGTAGCACCAGTAGATCGTATGTATCATGTGTCCATCTGACCCTCACATCAGAATTGACAGTGGAGGTTTCAAGGTATTGTCCTATTTTAAAGACAGAGACTGGAGCCCAAGAAATGCGAGTGACTCACTGAGGCCCTCAGCTACTATGATACGTATGGAGGGAGGCACAAAGTTTGAGGCAAAACTCTTTGATACTTACTGTGCCAGTCAAAGAACCTTAGTGCAATACAGGTCTCTGTTCATCTCAGGGGTAGGAATGAGGATTGTGCTACAGGGTCCTCCACATGCCCATCAGTTCCTCAGAACATAGGACAACCTGGGAGACTCCCAACTCCTCCAACTCCAATATGTTGTGCTATTTTTATCATTTTTGATATAACTCGAAAATGGGGATCATGAAGCCTCCTGCTTTAGTTTTATTGCCCAAGATTGCTTTTGCTATTCTGGGTCTCTTCTGGTTCCATGTGAATGTAAAGTTGTTTTCTCTAGTACTGTAAGAAATGCTGCTAGTATTTTTATTTGGATTGTGCTAAATCTGTGTATCTGTTTTCGAAGTATGGCCATTTTGACTATATTGGTTCAGCCTATGTAAGAATGTGATATCTCTCCATTTTCTGATGTCCTCTTTCATCACCTTTGTCAGAATATTATAGTTTTCATTGAAAAGGTCTTTTACTTCCTTGGTTCAGGTAATTCCTACGTATTTAATTTTTCTTGATGCTATATATAAATGATATTATTTTCCTAACTGCTTTCTCAATGAATTCATCATTGGTATACAGGAATGCTCTTGATTTTTATGTGTTGATTTTGTATCCTGCTACACTACTGAATTTGGTTATTAATTCTAGTGAAATTATTTGGATCTTTTATGTAGATCACATCATCTGCAAATAATGATGATTTAACTTCTTCCTTTTCTAAATACAAGTCCCTTTCATGTTTCTTTTTCCTGATCAGTGGGGCTAATGTTTTGAGCACTGTTTTGAACAGGAGTTGTGACAGTGGACATCATTGGCTTATAAAGGGAAAGCTTTCAGTTTTTCACCATTGTAGTATGATATTGGCAGTAGGTTGGTCATTAATTGCTTTTATCAGATTGAGATAAGGTCCTTCTATACCCATTTTCTTCAAGCTCTTGTCATGAATATCTGTTGGATTTTGTTAAAGAGAATTATTACTAAAAGGTATTGTCTTTTAGTAAGGCACGTGATCCACATCCATGGAGTTGGCCAGGGGAGATTGTAGCTCTGAAAGTTTTAGAGTTTCCAGGTCCTCAGGCCAGCTCTTTCTAATCCTTTTCAGAGTTTCTTTAATCATTTCATACAAACCCCCCCACCAGGCCTTCAGCAGAAATTTTCTCCAAGATTTGTTAAAACTTTTCAAGGATCTAATTTTTATGTGGCACTTTCAGCTATACTAAATAAAAATTGTTCTTCTTAGGTTGGATAAATGTGCAGGTAGGTACAGGCTGTTCACCCGCCTTACCACCACCATGTTTTTTAGGTAGCTCGTCCATCTTTAACTATTTTCTAACTTATGTTGTGATTTCCTGATTGATCTACTAGATAAGTGTCCTGTTTAATTACCACTTTTTTTTTTTTTTTT